CCCTTGGCAGTTTATTCAATTTTGGCCGACAATGACAAATTTCAGAATTTAGGGGAAATAATTTTTTTACCCATTTTCATTAAAAAAATGTAAGGCTTACCCTTTGTAGTTTCAAATATAATCATCAAAAAAGCTTTCCTTTCAGAAAATTAATAATTTGCTATCGTAAGATTACCGTGGTATTTTTTTTGCTTGTTTCCTGACAGCAACAAGTAGAACCATGAATTGTAAAGCAAAAAATATGCTGTACTTCTCCGAAATTTTTCATGGAAGTTTTAAAGATGGTTAAGAATTCAGGGGAAAAAATGATATTATCAAATGCTCTAGAGTAACTACAGCTGCTCGGATTCAGTCACTGAAGTTGGAAAAAGTGGTTTTTGTTATTCTTGTTGGCAAGAGAATGTCTCTCAGCAAAACCTTGCATGACCCCTGCTTTAATGATGGTCCCCACTAACTAAACAATCTGAGAGCCTTCAGAAAACACTGGCAAAAGCAGCATTTATAACTGGATCAGCAACACAGGGCACAGCTCTATCATGACATGCAGTCAACTGGTGTTGATTTGAACAGCGATGCAGGTGGATCTGTCTGATGTACACAGTTTTTTTAATCTGTAAGCTAGCTGTTCAACCACTTTGATGGTTTCTCAAGCATGCCTTATTTGGTTGTGTTCTCTTGCTATTAATGCATCCAGGTGAAAGTAGCAATGAAATGCCATTATTTCTCCAGCATGTATCAGTTTGTTGATGTGCGGTTGCTAGGTGACAGTCCCATGCATGTATTATAGCCGATGAACTTCCATCGTTTCTCCAGTGTTGCTCCAACACCAAACAGTTCTTGCTTGAACATTTTTGGAAATTTGATAAGTAAGGCTGCAAAAAACAAAAAAGATTTACCAACAGGATAACACAGGGTAGCAAAAGGTGCATGCAAAATCCCTTTATGCTAAAGTTTACTGTTATTTATTTTGTAAACCATCTTTATTGAGGGTAAACCATTCAACAGGAGCTGATCATTTGGGACCCTCATTAAAGGAGAAAAAGGAAATACATCAAAATCATAAAATAAACATTAGCGAAAATATACAAATAATATCAGAGCCATCAACAGAAATAGATTCCTCATTCCTAAAAATTTACATTTAAAATCCAGTGAGAAATCAAAAAGTGAAACATGAAAAAAGTTTTAAAAGAGGGAAAAATAGATATAAATACATGGGAAAAACGTAAAAGAAACATTGAGAGAACATTGAGCGTCCCCCTAGTAATTACAGTAATCATGCATTTCCTGAAGCAAAATCTTTTAAATCACTTGGGTACATTGTACAGAGTTTAAAGCTCAGAAAAGGTTAGAATAAAGTCTGAGTTGAGACTTGCATACTTGTTTACAAGGGACGGAATTTTGATATCATGGTCACTGCATTTAAAATCTTTTCTTTTACAGAGTGAATTTTACCTTCAATCTGCTGAGGTGAGACATTAAAACTAAGGCGTTGTAAGTATGACCAGAGGTACTCCACTGATGCACCAAAAGGGTGAACATGTAGAAATGTGCTGATGATTCCTAGACGATACAAAGTAAATAGAGGACTGAAAGTAATAGAGTGCTATTAAAGAGGCCTGCTTGTATATCCGCACATGACTGGCTATTAACTAGTGCCAATTAGTCAAACTGGATCGCCAAATTTAACCTTTTGCTGATGAGTAGCTAATGGCGACTCAACAACGAGAGAAAGCAGTCAACATTTGCCTATATTCACGAGATGGCCATTCTGAATTATTCTTTCAAATCTACTTTATTGATAGAACACTCCAAACAGGAAGGAGCCTCTTTTACAAAATATAATGCAAAAACCTCATTTTGGAAAATTCAATTTAAAAGGGGACATGACTATTCACCCGTAGTTTGGAACTATCCATTGGAGTTGCATAATGGACAAATTTTCTTTGCCCCAACTGCATCATCTTCATCACCACACACATGATTTTAAAAACTTTCAATTCAAGATGGCTGACTTGTTATGAAGGCTAAATACTAGCATATTCTGTAAGCACTGACAGTTTGAATGTGACACCTACCCACAAGCATAGCATCATTCTCCATGAGTTCTGTTCCTTCCGTTGAAGAGATGTCACCTTTACTGCTACTTGCCTCTTTGGAATCAGATTCAGAATCTGACTTCTGAAGGAACACAGACAAATTTTCAGCTTGGGAGTACCTTACATCTTAACACTAACCTCTAGGGTACTCTGGCAAGAAACCCTATCAGTGCATCAGCTTGTATCATTTTCAGAATGGCACGCCTAAGATAAAAAGGTTGACTATCCTAAAGACTAAACAGTCTGGGAGACAGTGGGTACCAGCCACCACAAGTGCCAAGAAAAAAACTGGTTGGATAGGTTTCAAGCAAAATGCAGCAGGATTTTGACTCCTATCATAGAAAACAAACTATATCCCTACAGTGGTAAACTTATTTCAACTTTGGACAAACTTATCTTACATGTAAAGATTTTACGATAAAGGTGATGATAGGTGGTGTAAGAAATGATATATCCTAGAGTTTCAAACCTCAGCTTTCTTCATTTCATCTTCTTTCTTCAGCTTGTTCTTTGTTTCCATCAGTTGCTGGGAAAGTTGGAAGGAGGAAAGAATTAAACATACTGGAAAAATCCTAATGAATCTGGCAGACAATACAGACTGTACATCTGGACTTCTTTTTAAAAAGGGCCAATGAATTCTTTGTGGGAATTCTTGAGTCTAAAATATTTCTGTAATGATGAAAGAGATTAAAAGAAAGTAAGAAAGGGGCTTCTCCAGACTGCTGGTTGGGGAGTATCAAAAGAAAGTGGATTCAATGAGAATCAATGAAAGGAGAGTAAAGTAAGGAAGGAATATCAAACATAGAAAGATGAAGAGAAGGGCTTGTTCAACGACAGGTTGGGTTTAGTAACTAACCTGTTGCAATCCCAAGCAAGAACAGTTTGGTTTAGTAACTTACCTGTTGCAATCCCAAGCAAGAACAGGATGGGTTTAGTAACTAACCTGTTGCAATCCCAAGCAAGAACAGGTTGGGTTTGGTAACTAACCTGTTGCAATCCTGAGCAAGAACAGGTTGGGTTAGTAACTAACCTGTTGCAATCCCGAGCAAGAACAGGTTGGGTTTAGTAACTAACCTGTTGCAATCCCGAGCAAGAACAGGTTGGGTTAGTAACTAACCTGTTGCATCCCAAGCAAAGCATGTTGGAGGGCCTTGATCTGAGTCTCCTTCTCATCTGCATATTGTACTTTCTCTGTCTTGAGGAGGTCAACCTCATTGCGGAATGCTTCAAGTTGACATCTGAGAGCATCTGCTTCATCTCTGCTGATACTGCCTGGAGTAATTGAAGGAGCTAAGGGGTGAAAAATTGATGAAACATTACAGCTACCACCATCAGCCTGGGAGAGAGTAAGAATCATTGTACGACATACACAAGTATCTTACCAAGAAGCTTCCAACTAGGATGGCTCCAGACAGACCTAACATTCTGCTGTTAGTGTTCGTGACTTACCAGGAGTTTCCGATGGGGGTGGAGGTGGCTCAAAATTCAGCTTGGGTCTCTTACTTTCCTCCTCATCAGTCAGGGTCCTCTTTGCTCCTTGCTCTTCTTTGATGCTAATGACTGTTTCTTCTTCATCAGATACATCCATATCAGCCTCTCCCTTGTCTGTCATGCCAAGCTCCTCCTGTATAGGAGTGCACAGCTCCTGCCATAAGGAAGACAGACTGTAATTAGAAACAGCAGGTGCAGTCTCTGCAACAGGTTTCAGTTATGTTTGGATGAGTAGTCCTTTAATAAGTTGCTTCTTAAAACTTACAACTTGCAGAGCTTCTCCATTTATACTACCAACTAATACCGTTTGTAATGCTGCTGATTTCTTATGGTTAAGGATCTTATAGGGCTCTGTGGTTTGATTCTTTTCAAGAATGGTGTCATCCATCACACTATCTTCACTTTATAACCAACCTGTGATGCAAAGTTCTTGCAAGAACTTCTCCATCTTTAAGCACTCCATTCAAGAGACCATAACTTTGCTACTAAATCTGGATCTTGAAGAACTCTGTTACAAGATTTTGTGAATACCACATGCACATCTTAGAACGAAGAGTACACTTACCTGCTGGTTCTTAATATTGTCTGTGAGACTTCTTAACCAAATTATTACCAATCTGGCAGAAAACAGTTTTACCAAATCCTGGCACGTTAAAAACGGCTCCTTCCGATACATCAGGTTTATTAATGGTTAGTTACAATCTCATTTTTCAGCAGTTCTGATTGGCAACCTCAGGGCAGCAAGTCTTATCATCTACATTCACATGACAATTTAATATGTCGGCAACAAGGTAGGCTGAAAGCAAGGAATGGAAATGAAAGGCAGTGGGATGGTGTATCTCTTCAACCATTTGACCACTGATAGTAATTCTTAGATTCGTAGTCATGGCAACATGCCCCACCCACTCTTTAACCCTCCCTCTCCCACTTACCTGGACACTTTTCTTCCAGCTATCAATGTGCTTCCTCTGTGCTTTGCTGAACTGATCTCTAGAGGGTTGCTTGGTAGCACGCACAAACACTTGGTTGATCAAGGATACTTAATGATGCCAGGCAAAGGGTGTATTGAATAAAAATATAAGAAATCTGAGTAGGAGGGCCGAGGGAGAAGGTAAACCTGCCACTTTCCTGCGGTTGAGAAAGAGCGCTTGGCCCAAGAGATGGCATCCTCACTGCATCTTGGGGACAACTTGGGTTCATTTCTTGGAATGACAAGTCTTTTTCTGATTTAACTGGATGGAAAAGTGAATGGAAAGAGAAGACCTACCACTGGAAAGAAGCTGGCTGCCATGATTAGTGGCTGCCACGGTTACTTGCTGCCATGGTTATTGGCTACCATGGTTACTGGACATTGAAATAAAACTCTCAATTTCAGAAAAACAAACAGTCCAGAATCCAACCATAGAAGGAGCTCACGTGAACTTAATGTTTGAATGTACTATGAAGCAAAGACATGGAACCAGACTTCGTTCTAGCCTTCTCTAGGTAGAGGCCTAGTTTCTACATGGTTCAAGACTCTTTTCACTATTACTGCTTCTGTTAGGCTGTCTGCACTTACATTGGGAATAGATGTCTCCAGTTTGTTTGCGAGCCATTTCTGTCATTGCTCGAATCTGTTCATCAAGACGCTGTTTTTCTGATGAAAGTCGTCTGGTCTGACTGTTGAATGAGCAGACAATGATACGCATACCACTACTGATACGTAGAGTCTCCACGTTATGTCTTTCGATACTTGCCTCTCTGTTGTCTACATCTTGGGACAATTGTCTGCCCAAGACATTCACTGACATACTTCTGGCAATGGGTAGCGGTTACAGATCTTCATCAAACGTACTTCACATAAACCAATATTTTTCCAGATATCCTTCTTTTGCTGGCCAAAGTGTCCCCCGATATGTCACGATGTTAAGTACAATCGGGACATTTTCAATGTTTACCTCAACTTTCGCACATCTTGAGGAATATTGGCAGAATTGTCAAAGACAAAAAAGACAAACATTAGATGATGACAGCAAAACAAACTGTACCTGAATGCTGCTTGGACTAAAGAGAAGAAACTGTTGGCTGTTTGCTTCTTGCAATCTCCTCGATCCAACCAACTGATTAACACCGTCACGGCACTAGGGAAGCTATCTTCAGCTAGGAGATAAATTCAAGGGTGACAGGTGTAACCAGCTTACAGGTGTATCAACTCTTGCTCTGTACATCCTCACGGGATGATGACATTTGCATGTAATGACCTGCTGAAAGTCAGGGGCAGTGGTCCTGATAATTACTGCTGATTACATTTCTTTTTAATCCGCCACCATACTGCTTTCATATAAATAATTTAGAGTTTGTCGTTGATATTTCTTATGGAAAACCAGACTTCAGAGTCTGATGATTTATGCAGAACAGAGTCTATTTGTACGTATTTACTAATGATGCATCTAAATTTTTCTGAATTCATCAAAGTTATTTAAGACACCAGTCTTAAACTGTGACTTAAGTTTGATTCTGGTTGATTTAGTGTGGTAAGGATAGAGTTGCCAATATCCTGCCAAGCATTTCAGACTCTACTACCTTTGAGTTTCTCTGTGAGTCTCTGTGCCTCCGATTCTGAGTGTCTTGCCATTTGTCGCAGTTTCTCCTCTTCTCTCCTCACTAGCCTGGCTTCTTCTCGCCGTTTTCTTTCCTCCTCTTCTTGCTTTCTCATATATTCTGCCTCATCATCTCTGGACTCGGAGTAGTCAACTCTCAGGACACCAGAATGATCAGGGTCGTTCTTATTCTCCACTTTGATTCTGTAACCTTTAGTTGTAACATGTGACATGAAGAACTGTTTAGAATAATCAATATTGATTTAACCAATCCACATCAAGATTTCAAATACCAACAAGGAAGATGTGGAAGATGTCAGGGAGTCACACTAACTTGTACTTTACTCACCCCCCCATGATCTTAGTTCGAATCCCACTCAGGCTGACAGATGGATTGGATTCTCAGTCCTCACCTAATTCTACAGGTCTTTCCAAGGATAATTATCAGGTTTCTTCTACCCTCCGAGACAGAGCCTTTGGTAATCTTCTTTATTCACAACTCTCAGCTTAGCTATTTATGGCCTATATACTCTTTGAGACACTGTCGTTATTTATGTACATGTAGCAAGAAGAAACTAGAACAACAGCAGGACTTCATGGAATGGACATTCTCACCTGACACTTCAAATGCTTTGTCTACGGAGTCTTCATCCATGAATCTAATGTGACAATAAAAACGAGTCCCAATCCGAAGCAACTTGCGAATTGTGCCAAAGTTCTCAAATATTTCGTGCAGCATTTCATTAGTGCAGAGGGCAGGTAGACCCCCAACAAAGATGGTACAGCAGCCAATCGGCTTCTCTCGTGTTGGCCGAGCAGGTTGCCTTCCTGTTAACAGACCAATACAAAATATTTGGCTAATCATACATCTTGGGATTTCAACAAGCTGAATATGCCGCACACTTTTCATATCATGAGATATACAAACACACAATAAGCATAAAAGCCCAGCTTGATGTACCGAAAAATAAAGGGAGTGTCTGTGATCTGAGTCTTCCCCTGGAATGCCAACATCCATTATGGCAGTATTCCTATACATGTAAAGAGATTAGAAATGTGTTGTTAGTTTACCTGGGGGAGGTGATGTGAGTGTAAATCCAGACCCTGTCAGTACCCTCTGCAAGCCTTGTCTCCCCCCTGGATTGCCAACATCTGCTGCATACTGTCCCATAGCCATGACATCTCCAGCCATGTAGTCTATTGCTGAGGAATAGTTAGCCACCAAATGATCCATACCCCACTGACTGCCGTGTAAACTCCTGTGCAAATCACCTGAAATATCACTGGATCCTGTTCCGAAACAAAATGAAATAACTGCATATAGTATTAGTTCTTTTATCCTACTACATCAGGTCACTGACCTCCAGGTCCACGATTGCTATTCCATGTGTCTGTATGCCTATCCTGAAGTACAGTACCAACTCATCTAAGGCAAACTATTATCCAAAGTCTGCACAGACTTCAATGTCCTGGTTCCAATCTACACATTGTAATCTGCAATGGTTGGCTAGTCACTCACTATCCCTACTACTTGGTCATCCACGGACTGAATTATCGCCTGTTTGCTAATTGCTTCTGTTTTCCATGCAAGTAGCAAGCTCGCCAGTGGAAGTTTTGATGGTTCAAACACAGCTTTCGGATATCATCCCTAACTGGTCTAAGACTCACCCTCATCATCAAGTCTAGACAAGCTGCTGTCTCCATCAATAACTTGTGGTTCATTCCTCAAGGAACCAGAGAATTCTAGAGGCTTATCATTATAGCCAGGTTCCATAAAACCCACTAAAAAGACAAAGAAAGAAAAAAGTCCCAATCACAGATTTATTGTTTTGGTGATGTGTCATTCTTGCAAGCAGCTACAAATTTTGCCTCTATTCAGAATATTTTATCAGCACTTTGTCTCGTTGACACTTGTACACATATACTTACTAGGCTGGTTCATGACATTCAGCCCTATTCCACTCATCCCCATATTTCCTTGACTCCCTCGTGCCGGAAGAAATCGCTGATTCTGAAAGTTTCCTGCCATGCTGACTACTTTAAAAAAACACATGTAGATCTGAATCCAAACTTGGAAGGTACGATGATCTCTTCTCTATTGTCACAGGACATGAGGCTCAAAATTCCCTCTGAATCTGGAAAGAAACGCTTATACAAGAACTACATGTACATGTATATAAACATGAACTGTGCTGAAAGACCCCACAATATATGATGCTTTTTTTTTCAACAGTAAAATCTCCTCAAACTCCTTCCCCTAAACTGCAGCAACACATTTTTGATTTGCTCAATTTAGATTTTTGTTTAAATAACCTAATATTAATGGAAAATGTGGGGAAAAAGTCTGATAATACTGTGAACTTGGGAAAAAATGTCTCCTTTAAATCCTAACCTTCCCCAACCACACAGAATTAAACTGTAGTAAAGTGTTTAATTCTGAGGAGATAGGTCTGGTAGGCCCATAACAGCTGGCTTTTGCATCAGTTTGGCATGCCTCAGAAAAACAATGTCCAACAACCTCTGTGCACAAAGTCCCAGATGGATGTTTAACTTTGTGTGAATGGGGAAGGTCAGGGCCAGCAACCCTTGGGGGGGGGAACCCTTGGGGGTTAGGGTTAAGGAGAAATCCTACTCTCTTTCAGGAAACTAATTTTGTCTCCAAATAAACATGATAAAGGGCTTCTCTAAATACCAGCAGATTCCCCGAGTTGTGATGTGCGCCTCAACTACTACATGTAACTAGGTTCCGAGGGTAGAAAACTCTTGTTTGGCCATGCCCTAGCCCCACTAGTGTGGCACGGATCACTCCCAAATCGGGAGTGATCCGTAGTGGGGCTAGCCATGCCCTAGGTTTTTTCAAACAAGTCTCACTGGTTTGTGCACAGGGACAAGTGTTGTCCGTATATGAAACTCTTTCCTTTTCCAGAACCGTCTCGTTGGGTTTGTGCACAGGGTGTCAAACGGCGTCTGTATATGGAACTCTTTCCTGGAATTTTTAAATGCTAAGCCTAGTACTAATAATCACAGGCCTTACGTTAGGCCTATGGATTTTTTTAGATTTGTTGAATGAGGTCGTGCCCAATTCCCGGACGCACACCACCGTTTGTAAATTCGGACAAAATTTTCGTGATTTCGTTTTTTTTGGGTAGGCTGAAGACATTCTTCTGAGCAGGCACTTACCTTGCACTTACAATTACAACAAACTGATTATTGAGTAAGCCCAACCAGAGAAAAACAGTGGCAAATAAACCCATGCGGTGCGCCATGCATTAGCAAAATTAATAGCTTGGGAAAGTGGTGGCGCTGTTTATGTAATCGGTTAACAGGTCCGGCCTGATGCAGTGCGCTCAACATGAAAGTGCCCCCCCCCCCCCAATTTTAAAAATGGGGATTGATTGGCCGAAAAAAAAATGGGAATGTGCAACAACGCCCTGGTTTAGCTTATATCTGAGGGTTGGAAGCAAAATTACGGGTTAAAAAAAAGTCTTAAGTGCCCGAGAAAATAGAGGGATGCGAATGCGTGTGGAACAACCCACCCAAAATTGAAAATGATTGGAAAGTTAAGAACCAGACAAACTCCAGTTATATCAGCTTTTAGTATTATTGAGCCCCAAACTTGGTTAACTTTATTTTCAATGGGGCTTGAGCCTTTTATTAATCGAAAATAGGGGTGGGTGGGTCAAAGTTTGAGTGTACTGCACTCTTCTAGCGCGCAGAGACAAATGAACGCCTTGGAAAAGAAAGAAGCTACACCACAATTTATTTAGCTCTTCCAACAAAACTAAAGCAACCTCCAACTCCGACGGTTTGTAACCGTGCCTCTTTCATTCTGTTTAGTCAGTTTGATACAGAAAAATTTACTGAGCGAACCTAAGCAGGGGCGTGGATAGGTCGAATTTAAAACAGACGTTGCAATATTGCTGAAGGACAGGAAAATGTATATCTTAAAATTCTCCTACGTTTAAGTTTGCCCCACTACCAGGTGGCTAACTGATTACTACGCAGCATTTTTCTGCATTTTGAAATGGAGAAAGAACTGAGCGATTCCGTGTGGGTATACCTCATTTAAGAAATCGTAATTATATGTGTCACATTAAAATGAGTGCATTCAGATACATGTATTATGGGTGCCAACTATGTCTTTTTTATGCCTCCAACTCTTTTTACCATTTCTGACTAAAATAAAGTGAAGAACACTAAACTTTTTCAAAGGGGAAGGCTTTTTTACCAGGTGATCAAAGATTATTTAACCACGCGCGAGGCAATGAGTTATGAGTTAAATCAGCTCCATTTTGTTAATTTGCTAATTTCGTTTCTTTGTGGTATTTCCCCCGTATATTTCTAGGCCAGTACAGAAGCATGGTGCTCCTCTCCGGCGTCACTCGGCTCCTTGTACAAGTTTCTGTGCTTAAAAATGATTCATACTAGGGGATATTTCCTGGCTTTGACAGGAGCATAATCTGTTGCTATGGCTACAGTGTCACTGTTTTGGCAGCTATTTGTCTCTTCCGTTAAGTGTGTTGTTTCAATGGGACTGTTCCACTTGGAATATCTAGTCAACAGACAACAATTAAAAACATGAAATTTTAATTTGCAATGAAATATGCGTGCTGCATTGCCAAAGGAGACCAGACCCTGATTTTCAGTGTCAACCTGAACATTCCTACACAAGTCGAACGAGGAACAAGTGGGCGGATGCAGGGCGAGTGATTAATACTCTGGGATGAGACTAACGCATGTAGCCCGTACTGATAGATTTCCAGTATAAAAAGACTTCTTAAAGTGATACATTTATATTGTGTTTGTGTACAGTGGCTTTCTAACAATATTTGGCACGAAGATTGTTGCTGTTTTGTTCGTTGAAATGGCAGCAGGAATGAAACTGTTCACATTTGAGTGATACTTGGATACAGGCCTGCATACTAATCCGATTAGACGCTAACTGCCGCGGCACCACGCTCACACGATCTTCTGCATGATGCGCGCCTGCTTTAGGCATTTCACGGCACCCTATTGGTCGAAGAGGCACGTTTAGAAAGGTCGACAGATATCGCGCGTTGTGATTAGCCAACTCGTTGCAAACTCTTGGAGATGCAATTGTGAATCGCCCGCATTAAAGTAGTCTCGCGGTCGGACATCCGGGAACTCCTGTGCATTACAGAATAGCACGAAGGGTAAAGAAATATGGTAGGGCTGCACCGTGATCAGAATATCAACAAGAATATAATATCAAATCAGTGCTCTGAAATATGTGATTGCCATATTTCAGAGCACTGATCTGATATTATATTCTTGTCGATATACGAAGGGTAAATTTGCCCTTTCGCTGTGTGTTAAGTCCATAGTGATGTCAGCCGACAAGAGAATAGTCTTTGTCATTCGGTCATATCCATGCTACATGTAAACAAACTAATTTCTCTTAAAACTGCCAGCCTAACAAAGAAATTTAATGAACGGTTGAAACTTGTTTATAAACAGGGACGAAAGATGTTAATTTTTTTGACAAAATAATAAGCAAAACAGAAACATCGTGACATAGAAATAAAATGCAACAATTCCGTGAAAAGAACTACAATGCATGGTCAAACAGTTTGGAAAACACGACAGCTGGTTACTAAACGTTGAACACTTTTGTACTTTCCCACATGACCGGCAAATGCACAAACTGGAAATGAGAAAAACAAATAAGAAGTGCTGTAGCCCCGAAAAGTGTGTTGCAACATCAGGTGAATTCAATAAGCTTTTATCAGGATTCTGCAAGGCGGAATTTCCTCATTTAAAATTACTTTCCTTGCTTACGTCCAAAACATCTTTTCACTGAACTGCGATCTAGAAAGCTTTAAAATGAAAGTAAATGCCAGCATAAACGAAACCTCTACTTCAGGAAACAGCATCATTTTAAGTGTAATTTATTCCATACAAACAACGCAGGGCATACGGAACATGTTACTTTAATGCTTGCTAGTGTAGTCTATATATCCAGTATTTTCACATCAATATCAAATTTTGAGTAAGAAGATTACAGTTTAATTACATTACGTGATGTACAATGTCATACAAAATTAATATAACATGGTTTGAGAACAGATGGATGGACTTAAATTTTGGTATTTGATGTTGAAAATAATAATGGTCGACTTGGATGATTCTGAAAACAGATTGCCTAGGTAATCAGAAAAATGACCAAAATCCATCACTCAGTTGAACTTTATATGCTGACAAACTGATAGGAGAACCATGTTATATTTGGTTTGCTTTACGTCACACATATGCAGCTACATGTATTATTACGAAATCTATCCTATTTGGGCATGATAAACCCATGTCATGCAAACGCTGTGGTACCCACACAGCTACTCCACATGATAAGGGTGGTGTACAGTTTAGGTCATGGAGGCTACGTTCGGTTTAGGTAGAGCAATACCCATTAAGAAATGACTTGAATAGAGTCTTATCAGTAGACATGGCAGATTCAAAGATAAATTCTAAGATTCTCAGGGGATCATGGGAAGTAACCAAAGACTACACCAACCAGCTCACTTTGATATACATGTTGATATTTTATAACATGTTTCAATTTTACAAATTTAACATATTTGTGGCCAATTTGATATGCATGATGCTGAACGCAAATATTCATATAATACCCACAGCACTGTAGCTCACAACCCAGAAGCACACAATATATGCAAAGACGTCAACAAAGAAATGTTCAATTAATGTGCGTGTACACAGGAAGCAGAAATCCGTAAGAAAAAACCCAGGTGAAGCCTTTGAAATCAAAAGGGACTTTCTGTGAAGCCATTCATCAAACTAGATAAGGAGCTAGAGCAAAAACTTCAAATTCAGAGCTAGTCACACCATGCACCTGTGCAAACTAATTAGCCTGAATTTGCTTTGGCAAGTGCATTAAACGTTGTGCTTTGATGATAATCATCAATGAGAGATACATGTATCAAATACAATAAACAAACCTGGCTTCTCATGCATCGCATCTACTTGGATATAATAACAATTTCCATTCACAAGACCTTTTCAAATAAAATACTACGTTTAGAACACCAAATAAGTGTTTAAAATGAAAGGAAAAAAATCATACTTGTTTCCAAGAAACAGAAGTTCAATGTATAAATCACACAATTATTTCTGCATCAAGAAATCCTTATGCCATTATGTACATGTAAACTCGCTATACAAGTGGTTTATCATTTCCATGTACAATGTACATGTACTTTCAATTAGAATTACATGATACCTTGGTGCACAACAGGGAGATATTGGTGACATGGTACATCTGTATCAACACCAAATCATGCACAAATTTAGACAAGAAAATGGGTACACAAGTATAGGACATGAAACTGGACAGAAGAAAACATGCTTCAAGCTGTCTTCGTTGACAAGTTGACAAAAATCAGATTGAATGTCAGCTGATCACAAGCATGTTTTAGGAACACTTCTGTTTTAACAATCATTATAAATTGTCTGACTGTATAAATAACTGAAGTGTACTCTAAATATAATTAATCTATCTTGGTCTTAATTCTTTATTAATAAAAAAAAGGGCAGGAAGTTTAAACTGGCCTATTTACTCCTTTTTTTATGGGGGTTAAGGTACAGACTGAGTCTCCCTCATCCATTGATACCTGGAAAAAATACAGTTGTCTTTTACACTTTTCATACGCATAATTACATGTACAGTATATGTACGTGTATAAAGCATGATTACTAAAATATGCAGGGAGTCACTTTCAATATGTTATTTAGGTTTAATGCATGTACGTTTACATTGTACATTTTCTTTGTGAAAACATGACCTGACCAGGGACTTCCAGGTCACAGTTAACAGTCTACACCACATCACTGTACACGTACATATATCTTGTATCCACTGTAACAAAACTTCTCTGTATATCTGTAAAACCTTTACTGCTCATGAGAATGATATCTATTCACTGTTTTGAAAACTATCAGGACTGAATCTGGGTAATTAGTATTTTACTCTACATGTACATGCGCACTGCAGTACAAAGTACACAAATAGCTGATAAAATACAAGAAGAATACAGAGTCTTGTATCACTCGCACTTTGTCCATAGAGATAGTGAAAGTGCACAAGTAACAGACGGTGACTGTTTCCAGGAACAAGTGAAATAAAGTAACCCCTCCATGTTGAAAATATACACGTACATGAACTTCATTGTCCAGTACTGTAACCAGGGCCCAACTAATTCTAGAGGCACTTTTAAGAACCATTTTTAATTGTTGGTTATGGTACAGCTCTAGACTATGTTTGAAAGTTTAGAACTATCGAAGAAAGTAACAATTCTCTAACTGTAAAGTACTTACAGAGAGGAAAGACAGGAAAAAGGATCCATGGAGAATGTAGGGTGGAACATTTTAGGCAGTGAATAAGTACAAAATGCTACAAAAAAATACGTAAATGAATATAAAATTATTTTTTAAAAAGTCAGAAGAGTCATGCGGAAGTTTTGTCAATATTCCCCAGACCAAATAAAAGTATTTAAGTGCAAAAAAAAACCTTGTCTGAAAAACTGGAGTTGTTCTCAATTTTCACACAGATACATGTACATGTATTAGCACATGTAGTTGAGAAAACCTTCAGATTATTAGCAGTCAGTTCATTTCTTTAATTGTGTTCAGTCTAAATAATTTCAATATCACATTACTGGTATTTCCATTAGCTGGAATGAAAACTGATGAAAATGAAAAAATTGAAAACGTTATTACAAAATCATTATCAATCCAAAGATGTTAGGGTAATGCGGTGTAGGAACACAACTTTGTAGGAAAAAATCATTCTGATATGTACATTTAGACATACATGTATATGTGAGGGATGCTCTGTTTCACTAAAAATAACAAGAGTATTGTGGTTTACTTTCTTAATATACTGAAAGTACATGTACAATACATGTTATGTGTAAAGTTAATGACTTTACATGAAACATGGTTAACAGCATGTACTGTACCGTGTACACCATATGCACAATGCAACTAAAATTTTTTACAAAAGCTTGTTTGCTCTAGTAATCACTGCAGCTGTAGTGTCGAGTGTCGACCAACAATTTTTCCTATATTATTCTCCTTTCAAAGGAAAAACGATGTTACACAAATGCTAAAAATTTCCCTTTGATGTATACATGTACAGTGTACCTGTATACATGTACATGGACTGTGGTAGGTGGTATTAATATTCAAATGTACATTCCTGTTATGTTAAATCCTCAAAATTAGAATGTCCATGAAGTTGATATAAAGCACACACTTAACACTGAAAAGTCATGCATAACACTGTATCATCATATACATGTACACGTACAGCAGGAGTAAATGACACATGTAGTCACGGAGTAAAGCTTAATTCCGCTCCACACACAAAAATAACTGAGCAGAGCAAACTTGTAACATCGAAGGGCATGGTGAAACCACCTGCGTTAGGAAACCTTTAGGATCTGCTTTTGTGTGCAGCATAAACACCATTCTTACAGGTTGAATTCTATATTCAACAGGTCACATGTAATACTTTGTGATAATTCACACACTGGCTACACATGTAATCTGCTAACGCAATCATACATTCTCACCAGGTGCACTCGCACAGTCACTCCAAAGTATATGTGAATGCATTGGTTTCCAGCTACAAACTGATCTACGTACAATGTACATGTGTCCCTCTGTTTCCAAGGTTCATGAATGAAACCTAAAGGTGCTGATTTAACTCCAAGGTGGACATTTTGGTATCAATTGCGAAAAAGTAGTCTTATTACATGTCTATGGGTGAGGTGTAGTGACAGTGGGGGGGGGGCACCATCCTCACCCATTGTTCCTGTTGGCAACACTTTGTAAGAGATGACCCCCATGAACAGTACCTCCTTGTGCTAGTGGAAAACTTCCTTAAAGAGTGCAAATTAGGCAGGCAGCTATGATACATGTACGTGTATCAGTCAGGTTATACAGTCTACTAGACCGATTGCACCCACTGAGTCACATGACCTACAGTGGGTGTCAAACATCAATACACAGTGTCCTCCCAAAGCAAAGTGCGCCGTAAGTATTATTTATCAAAAACAAAGCCAACAGTCACTATAATACACAGACTGCAGATGTGTTGGGTACTATATCCAAAATTGGCTTCACTTTTGGTAAACCGCATTTTGCTTTGGGGTTTGATGATGTTTGATACCCACTATAGGTCATGTGACTTGGCAGGCGCAAATGGTGTATTCTAGCACGAGGTTTCAAGTTTAACATGATCCATGACCTAGTTAGTGCAAATAGCACGCTCTTCTCTCATTTATTCTCAAGTGAGTTCCTCAGTACCATTCTAACTTCTTGCTGACATCTAATTCAACTCTACCATACAAGAAATTCTACTCAAGCAAGTGGTACATGTATGGGGAGAAACTTCAAGCGAATAATCCCATGTAAGAATTATGTAAGACAACCTTGGAAGGAATGGGTGGGAATGAGTGATAGAGCTATGAGCAGAGTATTCATGAGTAAACCTCAAGATATCTAAGATGTCACAAAGTCCACTTAGACTCCTCTTCTGCTATGGTGGGTAGTGCGCTCCTCCGTTATTGCAAACCTCCCGATACGGCTTGGTGAGGTAAAGCTTAAAGTTTGTCTTGCCACAGCTGAATATTGGCGCCTTTTTGTAGTGCTCTATCAAATAATCCAAGCTTTCAAATCGTTTGGAGCCAATGCAGTATTGATCATCCACCCTCTGGACTTTGAAATGTTTGATTTTATCAGGAGCTTTAACTGACACAGAGTAGCCCCCAGGCTGTAGAGAGAAAAGAAAACAAGAAACTGCTATTAAATAACAAGGATTCTAGGAATTCATAAAACTTCAGAAGTGTATATAAATATAATCTTCAATAAATAACTATTATTTATATTATCAATGAAATAATGGAAAATGCTTTATTACTTGAATTGACAGCATAACACTTTATGTTTTATGTATGTGTACTACATGTAGTACATGTACATGTATACCTGATTCAATTAATTAAGCAGTGCAAGACTGAGCTTTGAAAAATACAGGTACATTTGCACAGGCGTGTTCATGTATGTGCAAATGTACACGTACTGTAAATGTATGTACCAGTGTGCAAGGCAAATTAATGAATTGAGTGAGACTCACCAATACTCAGAAACAAGTTTGTAGGGACAATTAAGCTCATAAATAAGATACTCTACTATGCTTGAAGTTCATTTAAAATTATCTTTTATTTAATAAAGATGACGTTTTGTGTCAACAAGTAGCAGTACATGTGCATTCAAAGCCACTACTATGGTACAATGTACATGTACATGACATGCACTATGTACATGTACACCTGTACATGTGCATTCAAAGCCACTACTATGGTACAATGTACATGTACATGACATGCACTATGTACATGTACACCTGTACATGTGCATTCAAAGCCACTACTATGGTACAATGTACATGTACATGACATGCACTATGTACATGTACACCTGTACATGTGCATTTACATGTGTGTAATGCTATTTGCAGCAGAGCTGCAGATACTGAACATGTACTGTACACGTACCAGTACATAACAATTACATGTATGTTACAAGTGAGTTTCTAATAGTGTACGCGTAACCTTGGACAAAATTACACAAAACTTGACATCGGACCAATGATTTCTGTTTCAGTGGAAAAATCACCAGAATTAATGAAATTTTTGCATTTTGATAGAATTTGCAATTCAGCTTTAAAAATATCCCTAGGTAAAATAAATATCAAACAGAAAATAAACTGTGTCCATTCAAAACATTCACTTTCAGACTAGTAGCCTGAAGCCAAATTATCCAAAAGAAAAACTTGTTCAGCTACATGTACTGCCAATTGGCAATTAATGTACCAATGTATGCTAACCATGCATGTGTCTTCTTAGATTTTGGTTTTGGTCAAAATATGCATGTAAACAAAGATTTCCTGACACTAGAAATACCAGTACATGTACATGTACACATGTGCTATGAAATGGATATTTCTGTGACTATATACATGTACACATGTGCTATGAAACAGATATTTCTGTGACTACATACATGTACACATGTGCTATGAAACAGATATTTCTGTGACTACATACATGTACACATGTGCCATGAAACAGATATTTCTGTGACTACATACATGTACACATGTGCTATGAAACAGATATTTCTCTGACTGTACATGTAGGATTGTCTGCTAATTAATCAAAAATACTGTAACTTAAGATTTATTAGACCTCTATAGGTACTTTTGTTGAAGGGTATAAAATCCACTGATATGTTGTATCGATCTACATGTATTCTCTATGAATAATTGATGTCTAATTAGATTTGAAGTATTTGGTATTACAAAGTCTGCCATGTATGAACCTGAGATAATGGACAGATGGTGACATTTTAATGTCATGCAAAATTGTGGACACTACAAACTTGAAAACAAACACAGGCCATTTTGTATAGTGAACAAAATTTGAGTACATGTATCACTGCACACAGAGAAATGTCCTACGAGAAACCATTCTTAATTCTTCTTTCACCAAAATGTTTTATAAGACACTGGTCTGCGGAAGAAAAATCATCAGGGTTTAAACCAAACAAAACAAAGAAACACCACATAATTAGCCAGTGGCCAAGACTCCCTGTGGGTTACTTACCGTAGTTTCACTTTCCCGTATGAGGAACGTTCCATCTTCACAATTGAGCTCCATCAAAGTTCTCTCACTTTCATCTCTTTTCAGAGTCCCACAGAACCAGATTTTGTGTTTCAAAGAGTTCCCATTTTCTGCCTGTGCCACGCCCACATCATTTGAGATGACTGGATTTGAGACTGGTACATGCTGGGCATTTGCAGTAATCTCTTCCACATAGTTTTTGGGTACAAGACCAATTTCTCCCTTAGTATTTCTTGCCTTCCACCATTCAGGATCATCTTCTGGTCTCTGTAGTATATCCAACCGTTCCCCTTGTTCAAAGTTGAGTTCTTCATCATTTCGTCCCTGGAATTTATAGAGTGCAATGACAGTGTGTATGTAATCCTCTCCCAAAACGTTTTCATCTCCTTTGGAACTCACACTGGATTTTTGACTGGCTGGTAAGCTGTCACCTTCTTCGTTGACATAATTTGAAGGAAACCATCCTGTTTCTCCATTACACTCTCCTCTCCACCATCCATCTCCCGATTTTTCCAGGACAGTTAGTTTCTCTCCTTTCCTAAGTGACAATTCATCTGGTTGCCGTGCGACATAGTTGTATAATACTTTTGCGGGAACACAAAGTTGGTCAAATTCTGCTGATTCGGCAAGATCACGTTGCCCATGTTCAGTGGCATGAGGCAATGGTCCCATTCCTGGTTGCTTCGTGTCCCGAGATGGTACGATCTTGTCACGCAGTTTGTTCATAAAACTCTTTTTTTCCTTTTTGACAAAGTTTGAGGGAACATAGCCCGAGTCTCCCGAGGCTTTGCGGACCTTCCACCAAGATTTGGTGTCATCAATGAGAGTGAGACGCTCATTTTTCCTGATGTTAAGTTCCTCCTGTTGATTAGCTGTGTAATCCCACTTGGCAATGACGTACACTATCTCCTCATCACTCATGACTGGAACAGAAAACAAAAGAAACTATTGCTCTTAAAAGTGAAATAGTACACAAAGCAATAGTACATGAAAAGAATGTGAGATCACAATGGCACTTCCCTCTTTTTAAGGCATCGGAAATGTGCCATCTGATTTCAACACACATGTAGGATTTAATCTGTACTTCCCCTTTTCCAAATTTACAGTACTCTCTGTTCTGTGGTACAGGCTGGAAGTTCCAGTGTACCACCTGACCCTGTGTTTATCCAAACACAACACATCCCAGTCTTACATGTATTTCTGCTAAACACACCTCATTGACTAAAGCAAACACACACTGTATGGTACCAACACATACTGTAACTGTACATAAATTTGTGCATGTACATGTACTGCATGAGCTGCAAGCTGTCACATTCTGTGGGCTGCATGCACTTGTCCCGCCCCCGGTTCATGTAAATGAATGTAGCCATTAATGTGCATATTAGAATGCCCTGTTACACAGTTCTCCACTGTTTTCATGAAATAAATGTGCCTTTCATATACTGAATTTAACATGTAACTTTAAGTCCACACACAGGTCAGTAAATATTTCCTAACAAATACAAGGTTGAATATTTACATACCATGTACATGTAGTACAAATGGTGCTTCTTACCGTGTTTAACAATGAATGTTTATCTGAAGTTGCTTCTTTTTTTATAACAAATAGTCACATTTTATGAAGGTTTCCATTAAATTGACAAGGAAGGGGATAGATACCAATCCAGTGTGGAAGTACATATGACAGATGACAAACCCAAGAGAGTACTGAAATTTGTAAAATGCTATTCACACCTGATACAAACATATACATTTATAGAGAACATGATCCAAATGCTGTCAGATTTGGTTCCTTTATCCTCCTTTTACACATGTCAATGCGTAATTCTTCTTCTACTCATCCAACTGGAATTCCCAGGGATTCCTCTGCATCTGTGGTTATTGGATTTCAATGCAAGAAAAATGACATCACTTGCCAGACCAATCTTCCTGATGATACATGTAATACATGCACATGTATACCCCACATACATGTACAAGTACATGTACGTATACACTCCCACTGTAAGCACTCCAGTGGACAAGAATATGCATACATAATGCTCACAAGCAGTATGCGCCCACAGAGGTCTTGTAACACAACTCATGTACATGTATAATAAACATTACAATGTATGGATATATGACATAACCTTACTGCTATCAAGGTCAGCAATACCCAGTTCTGCATTTACAAGTAGATTATAGTGAGCTGGCAATTTATTACCGGTAGGCTGTCGATGATACCCAGATAAGGTGTGAGTAGACCTGTAACATATGTAGCATCATGACTTGAGCACTTGGCTAGTGTACATGTACATGTAGGCTGGACATGTGCCCATTGCTCTTGCTGGCAAGACAATGATGTCATCGCATACCAAAAATACTTTGTTACGCATTCACCTTTGAACTTCTTCCACTGAAAAGTTGACGTTGCACCAGAACAAGGAATCTTTTAAATGAACAGACATGTATACACATTTGGATCTGAAGTTTGAAGTGGCATTTAAATGCAAACAAATCATGTTTGATGTGAAAGTGTCATACATGTACTGTACTTATTATCAATAGTATTGCCAATCTGTCCTGCAAAGAGCTATTAAAGAGTTCTTATCATATTACTTGTGTGCCTGAGACAATGAAATCAACTCAAATACAGTGCATGTTGGGAAGAAAAGAATTTTCCAAAATTATGCATATCACATGTTTATTGATTAATGTGTACATTAATTCATGTGGTCAATGTACATATATGTACACTGACACAAATGATATATTGTACCAATACAACATCTAGGTACGAATATGAACATATATGTAATGTCTAAAAGTTAGTAATAACTTCCTTTGTTATAAAGTTTACTCACATAAGGTACAGCTGCAATCTGCCTCGTGGTTGATACTGGCATTTACTCAGAAAACATACATGTACATGTAAGCAAAGGGACTGCAGAATCATTTTTCATTGAACACTCGCATCTGCAAAACTGGATGGATTTCGTCTGACTTGTTTACTTAATATTGTTTACACGTCATGATTTAAATATAAAACAAAAAAAAAGAAAAACACTGTACAAAATGTTCACATTGCATTCGATAAAAGCTTGACAATATTGTGTCCATTATCTCTGTGAAACCACTTGATCTCAAAGTATTAAGGATTGATATGATGTACCCTGTACATCAAAAAGCTTGTCTTGAGCTTTTTCTCCCATTTGTGATTCCAATTCATTTATGAGATACAGAAAAACTTTGTATGTTAAATGTATCCAATTTATGGTAAAGAGGTTTATGTTCTTTCCTGCACATACCTTTACATGTACAGTACCAAGGTATTCCAAGAAAAAAAATGCAATGGGTATCATTACTTGAATTTGACTATAATAACCTCTTTGGTATTATGGTGGTGAAAAGCACAGCATCACCAACATGTTGCTGCCACGTTCACTGGAAAAATCAGGAGTACTCAGTCATGAAGACCAAATTTATGCCCAACTTCACCATATCATGTGCCATTGGAATATCTCCTTCCATGGTCTTCTTACTTACCGGTACCTGGTAGTGGACATGAATAGCTTAAGTACATGTAGCAAGAGTTTTATCAGGCAATGCTAGTCTTGTGCCTGATAGCAACCCTTTGTTTTAACAGAAAACTTTTCCAAACTTGACCCAATCTACAAGTTGATTCGTACAGGTATACATACGTATATGAGTGACTTCTAAGTCAGCCTCGCTGTCACTTAGATCTGCCATAGTTTCCTGGTTAATAGCAACCTCACTTCCTGTTATTTGCTGAACTCTGCTGGACAACAGCTTCAGAGTGTTGAATGGCTCACAACTTTCCAACAATCAAAATATACCAAATCATCGGGAGTGTTCACTGTTATACACATCCTGCTTGACACAAATGGGGCTTGTATAGCACAGCAAATGACACAAAAATAATGCAAACAAGAAGGCAGTAGGCTGCAATTCCAGTAACAAGTTGACTGGTAGAGCTTTTGGTGTCAATGAAGTTCTGCTGTGCTCTCATGCGATAAAACTATGCTAAAGATGTCTGAAAACCAATAAAGCTATAGTCTTTTCCAAAAATGGTAAGACCAAGCATTCAAGCAAGTTGTGGAAAGACACCTGTGCAAGCTATGTCCCTGATAAGGTCACAGCTCAAACGCCACAATGTCTGAATCTAGTGCATCCAGTCCAGCAAATACCCGGTTTTACTTCCTCCTCAAGCTTTCACCTCCAAATGTACATGTACAGTAAATTTGCATCATACAGTGAGTTCTCTGCACGGTGTGACGATCCATACCATACAACTACATTGTACCCATCAATGGTGATCTCAGACACAAAGAATTTAGAAGATTATTGATTGTGAAAAAGAGAAGATGAAGTGAGCACAATTGAAATGGTTGGACCATAGAGCTATGGTTGGACCTATCTGAGTAATATACAATCTGTGCAGAGTATAGTAAGTATATGGTACAGGTATTTCCTTGACAAATTTCACTAACCTGCGCATACATTGTAAGACCAGAAACTTAACAAAGGGATGGTGGAATTTAAATATAAATACCCAACTTGTGCACTTGAATAGCAGACAAGCCAGGCAGGCATGATTGCTTTAAAACCACTGTTAGGGCTTTTTACGCCCACTGATGTGAAAAAGCACATGTACTTAAATTTTAATTCAGAGGTGTTTGCCAAATATTGAAATATTGTGCAGGAAACAAATGATTTTTAGGAAAATTTAACATGACTTAAAAATCAGGTTACTCTAGAGTAACTGTACATGAATTGCCACGGTCTAAACTACAGTTGGAATCCTTCCATGGTTGACATGTGATTGGTATTCGCATCAGTACCTACCGGTAACTACACGTACTTCATTGGATATTCTTAGAATATTAATATTATGGAATTTGCATGTCATCTTGCTGGTAAAGCTTCATACATATATACATGTAGATCTTTCATCACACTTCTAATCTTTTCAAAAATCTAACATGAGAAACAATCTCAGACACTGGTAACAAGGTACATGTACGTGTATCTTAACACACTGTTCCTGCTATCTTGAGGGCTTTACTCTTTGCATCTCTCCAGACGTACATTATTTCAGGCTTGAAAACTAGAGGATCATAGGCATTCTTGAAGAATTCAAGCTTTGTAGACAAGAGAACTACTTTAAGTCCTAAATAATGTATATCTATCTCACTTTCTTTTTGGGGGGTTATACACATAATTTTTGAATATAACGTTTACACTTTTTTTATTAGAGAGTGAAAACAGAATAAATACGTGTAGGTGAATAATTCATGCATAGCTGTGTTGGCAGCAGACTTTTTCATTTAAAATTGACAGGGACTTTCGTTAATTTGGCAATTACATCCTATGAAAACAGCCAGTACACTGTGGCAATTGCTGAGTGTTGATCGTCGGTTGTTAGTTTTTATCTTTTGCAGCAGAACTTTTTTCATGACCATGTCAGGGCAAACTTACAGTGTCAGAGTAAGGTCACAAAAAAGTCTCATGTGGACAGCCACTGCAATGTAGAACTAACAATGGATGAAGTTAATAAGTCAAAGGATACCTGTATGACCTCTGTTGTTTGCCATGCACAATCCCATTTAATACTGCATATAAACATGTAGGATATCAGAGATGTAAATAGATGACTTGACAATGTACCATAAAAAAAGAAAAGAAAAGAAAAATTTCGCACTTCCGTGAGGTTACATCCGGTGTCAGATAATAAGGTCAGTCAGATGATACCCTTGCAGGATTCTCAGAAGACATGCTACTGCAGGTGACTGGTGACTTTTAAGTCCCTTGGCAAGTGACCAGGGAATTTCTGCAGGCCAAGACCAATTCATGTATGAATGCAAAGAAGAATAACTGTGATGGAATGTTGACATGGTTCCTTTTTACAATTTTAGTCCAAAGTGAATGTGGCTTATGTTATTCTTTTCCAAACAAAACAGTGAAATCTGAATCAATATACCGGAGTCCCTCCTTTAAGAGGCCAATCTAAGGACACGAAGTCTGAGGACACAGTGTAGACCAACTGTGTGCAAGCATGGAGCTACCTCTACCTGTACAAGCACACAATATTCAACGATGGTATTGATCAGTGGTGAATGGGCACAGTACAACAGGAAATGATAAGGCTTCAGGGAGTACAAAACATATCAAATTGAGGCGCTGGAGAGGGACAGATTACACACAGGGAAGTTCAGTTAAATAGCACCTGCGGTCATAACAAGCAATATGTCTGGAGATGCTCTGTGGTGGCAATTCTATTTCATATGGATGGTTTAACTGTTGCAGTTTCAAGATGCAGGCCAGTGAACTTTGGCATGCAAATTCACAGCTTCCGTGTGGTATATTGTATGAGTATGAACCAAATTTCCCTGTCTGATGCATGCGTTTCTTAAATTCATTAACACATTGTACATGTACACATACATACAGTGTACATTTACTTTATGTATGTAAATGACATTTTCATAAGTGTCAGGCAAGTTCAAAACTATGTGAATTTAAAACTACTGACTTCAGTGCAAGGTATGTGTATAATACTTTACATGTACATGTACTTACCACAAGTCTTGCTGTAAGAAAGTTGAAGTTACTCCCTGGGTATCAGCCTCTTTATTAGTACAGATAAACGTACACAGACTTGATTTCTGAACATTAATCTCTGCAGTTGCGAGAAATCTTCAACAGCTAAAGAAAAGCAGTTTATTCGAGTTTTAAAGGAAAGTTGAGGCAATTTTCCAACATGATGTAAACGTACACCCAAACCAACCCTATAATATGGGGGTGATATGTTTGGAGAGTGAGTCATTTGGCCAAACAAGGGGCAAAAGTTAAGTAGGATTTCCTTTCACTGGATCCAAGCAATGAGTCAGCACATGAATTAGTTGACAATTTCACATTATTCATGGCAGATTGAATCCTAGCTAAATAGTTAGATCTACATGTACATGTATAGTTAAAGAGTACAGAGGACTTAATTTTGGCAGGATCGTGGACTGCAAGTCTTAACCTTAACCACAACAAAGTATCTTAGCTTTACATCTTGACAGGGATATGGACAATCATCATAACCTTACATTATGAAGACTTGGAAGTAGGGAGGGCTTACATGTAGGTGCCGACTGTCACGTTTACATGTGTAAGAAGGAATTGCACAATCAAAGCAGTACCCCAAACTCTGTTTAGGATCAAGACTGACCAATTCGATATAAGTCATTCATGGCTAATTTATGTGTTCTGAAGATCTAAGGATCCTCCAAATAAACGTTTTGTCAATACCACATTTCATGCTGTATCTTTAAAAGAAAACAACTTTGAGTTTGGAAGGCCTCGCTCTGAAGTGACCACTGTAGCCTGCACAAGACAAGACAATTATAAGCGATGCCAAATAAAAATCCTTTTTTACAAACAGGTCACTACTGGCAACCTTCCCGGCACTGTACATATGTACGCATACACAAACTGGTGTGTGTTGGAAGTAGTGACAGGTGCAGAAAGTTGAGAAGATGTGAAACTAGATTCAGTGGAAGTGACTGACATGCCTATCCAGTGAGGTGTCTGACTTGCTTTCTTGAGTCCGGCAACATGGAAGAATGGAGGAAATCAACATAAAGGGAGATAGCATCTAGATCTTGGGGGCTTCTTGAGTCAGACCATGAGAGATTGAGAATTTAGAAGAAATTTTCTACAGTAATGGGTTACATGTAAATGTACCAACCAAAATGCCGAGGATTTTATCATTTTTTAAAGCATGGTTTTCTGCGACCACTAACTGCTGTGCTGACCACAGCCAGCTTGATGACTAATCACATACACAGGCTGGAAAGAGAGACTACACAATAACACAGCAACCAGGTAAACCACAATGACCAAAGAGTATTGGGAAGTATTGTTGACCAGCACATTTTTGGCCAAACACCACCAATGAGGAAATGCAAAGGGTTGGAAAGAGCAGAGTCAGGGATGTACTCATCAATAAACCCATTACTGTATCCTTAGCAGCATGGTATCAAGCCATCAACAAATACCAAAATGCTTCTCAACATCATGTACACATGTAGTATGCCACAGGATGGAGCCACATGTATGATGACATATATCTAAGGGCGTGTTCTCATATACACCTAACAAACTTGCCTATGAAAGGAAATATGATCAAAGACAATTTGGAGTTTTGGACCATATTGAAATAATGGCATGTTTGGCTATTTCTTGGTTACCAAATTGAAAGTTTTAACTGAACTAGTGTTAAGGCAACCAGTAGTTCTTGGACTAGAAGTTGGTAGAGACGTAGGAATGCTTGAGTTTGGCTCAAACCATTTGTTCTTTTTATGATATGAATGGACAGCAATGAGAGGCTGCTCTGCTGTGAGCTTTCGTAGACGGGATTCTTGACCTTTTACTGCTCATGTTCCACATGACAAGGTTCAGCGGTGAGGGATTGGTTATATTTTCAGAATCTGTAAAGTTCTGCGTTGAGCACACTGGGTAAGAAATTGTCAAGTAAAGGGACATACATGTAGGCCAAGGAACATGTACATTGTTGGTGCATGCACATTTCTGCTTATGTTCAAAGTATCACCACTGTGATTGATTCAATTTTCCATTTTCAATCACGTAAGAGTTACTTAAGTATGATAATAAAGAAGAAAGCTAATGATAGGAAATTGTGACTTTCCCTGGTAACAATGAATGCCTGATGTCATAAATGTTCCATTCCTGATATTTGGCAATAAAACAGACCATGTCTAGCTCCAAGGTAAAGCCAACTATTAATGGGGTCTCTGGGTCTGCTGTGTTGGTGTTCTTGAGATTCATGTAGCCTACAAAGGCCCTACATACATATACAGTATGTCCGTGTGGTTCATGTAATTTTATACTGAACATGATAACTTTGCACAAAAATTTTACTACTGTTATCAGTGGCTGATTGGCAGGTATACCAGGGTAAAAGTAAATGAAGTGTATATTTGATGGAATTCGGTTAATCCTTATTTTTTTTTCTTCAAATACTGCCATGGAGCAGATGCAATAATTATAATACAATTCCCCCTCTAACATGTCCGAACAGGCAGAAACTGAAGGAGCATGTGCATGTAGTCTAGGGATTGCAGTGTGGTACTGCCAACTTAGAGACTTGACTTCTGTGCCTGACCATTGTGGGCATTTTAAATTTTTTACCACCTCAAAAAGTCTAAACGTAATCCCTTTATTTTTTCAAATTGAGTCTTACAATGCATTGCAGGATATTTCTTTTAATGACTTGTAGCTCTGGAAGATTTCTTAAGGGGGAAAGTTTAAAACTGCAGTATGTAAGGTCCAAGTTCCGCCTCGTGGAATCTGAATTCACAATGCTAAGGTATGCATTGGACTAGTCAAAGTATGTAGTTGTAGTACTACATGTAAGTATGAAAACACTCATCTGGGCATTTCAGTTACTGTGCTGGTACACAATCCAATCAGGACTGTGAACCAGTGAAATATATCTGTTAAGTGCAATCTTGAATCTTGCTCAAATTTATGTAGGCCTTATGGTATCACTGTGACTACCTGACGACCAACGACTGCTCCCTCCTGAGTTGATTATCCTATGAATGCATTTTACATTCAAATGCACATCAACTAAAGACGGACTATACACATGTAATAAATTAGTGCGTGATTCAAAATTGTGCTGAACACATCTGTCATGTCTACTGCCAAAAGTAAGCCTCCAGCTAATTACCAGAAGGCCTAATGCCTAACGTTAGGCCTTCAGCTAGGCCTAGGGCCTATAGAATTATATTTTTGTATGGTAGAAATAAAACCAGAAATTGAATCACAGTTACACTAAAGAATAGTTTTTTTACCTGTCTCGACAACCAAAATACAGAAATTACACAACAGTTGTTATGCCTTAACTACAGCATCAGTCTCAACAATAACTGGGACTGGCCCAACTATAGTCACATGTAGGACCGCCCCAACTCCATGTATAGTGCTATAGTTGGGCTGGCCCAACTGCAGCACAATATTAAGTATGGTGGCCCTGGATGGGGCATTGCCAATCGTCAACATTGCCGTCAGTATTTGCGACCAAATTATCGACTCTTATCTCTGGTCGCAAATATTGATGTGATGTTTTTTTCCAGCGAGCAAAGTGGAAATGCTCATGTGCAAGTCAATGACCTACATTTTTTGGCTTGATTTCAAGTCACTTTTTGGCTAGGCAGTTTTGGCACAATGCAGGGGGCACAAAGTTAAAAAGCAATTGCTTTTTTCTATGGCTGAGTAACTTCTCTCTCTACTTGGCTTGCTGAAAAAAAAATTCACGGCAATATTTGTGACCGGAGACATGAGTTGTAAATTTGGTCACAAATATTAGCATCAATATTTGCGACTGAAGAGTGGGTCGTAAATTTCGTTACAAATTTATACATCAACATTGACGACTGGCGATGTCCCTCCAGGGCCACCATAGTTATGTGCCCAAGAATCATGAGCATGCCATAGCCATATACTATAGGCAAACAAAAGTCAGCAACTTTTCCTTGCAGAAACAAGATTTTACGATGAAGTGCCATATTTTAGATGAATTATGTCAGGTTTGAGCTGCATAAACTCGAAGGTTGAGAAACATCCTGCAGACCTTCCCCCAGAACTGTGGGGTCCAATACAATAGCCAGTTGGGCCACCCCAACCATGCGAACTGCAGCACTGTTGTTGGGACAGACGCTAGTATATTTCATGTATTTGGGGCGTAACACAGTCATGACAATGGCATTCATGCTCAAATGCTTTAAAACAAATAGCCCGAGCTTTTGTGCACATGTGGACAAGGCAAAAGGCTGGGCTCTGTCTTTCGGGAGTAGCCTAATGAGTAACAGTAACACAAAGAGAAATGGTAGGTTTAGGCTATTTTGTGTTCTTTCCTCAGTGTTCGTCCACAATATAACAACATTGACACGGTATTTTTTACATACCATATCACTGATGTTCTCTTCAATTCCGACGAATAGTGTTGATTTTCCAAAGTCAGAATCAATGAAAATTGAGGGAACTCAAGGCGGTCACGCTGATTCACTGCGCTGAATACATTACAACGCTCGATCAACAGTAAAGCATTGGTAGGCCTACATGTAGACATGTACATGTACATTACGTGGTACGGTGGTACACGCGATTACATGTACATGTTCACCTTGTACACATTACACATGTAAAAATCTGTCCAAAATGGCAGACTTCACAGAAAGAAGACTCAATATTAATACGCACGACAATAACAATAAAAGAAGGCATCAGTATTTACTGATTTTACTTTAGGCTTTGAAATCTGAATTTTTAATCCATTTGAATTTTTACACTAAACATGGAAATAGAAAGTCGAATGGGTTTTTAAGTGTGCTATTTTTCGATAGTGTATTCAGCCGGCAGTGCATTAAATCGCCAGTCACTAGAAATGACGTCATGGTTTCCGGTTCGTCACTGAATTAATTCATTGAAAGGTCAGGAAAGACCCTTTTGCAACCGGCGTGGCCGGTGGATGGTCACCGTGACGCATGATATGACAGTTAGTATAGTGTTGATACAACCAAAAATTTCCGGAGATTTGGAAGAGCATTTACATGTACGTTTAGAGGAAAACTGAAACAAATTGGTCCACTTGGCACATTTAACGGTCACGGTAGCAGCACTGAGTTGGGGATGGCGCACTCGTGTCTAGTGTGAACTCAGTGCCCACTGTGGAGGACAACTACAGACCGGAGATTTTTTAATGTCTCATTTTTTGCGGACAAGCGGAAACGATGATGAAATATTACATGATATAGATTGTTTGCAATGGTATCAGTGCATTTACTTGGGGTATTATTTTTTTTGTAATTTCCCCATCTTCCCCCCCCCCTTTTTTTGGGTGGGGTTAACCCCAAACACCCTGGACCGCGCCTTACTACCGATAACGCATCCAGGCGCGGATGCGGCGAGGCATTGGCTTTAATTTCTTTTTGAAATGAGCATTAAAGCCGGTATCTTCCTGTAGATGAAAAGCTCCAATAGGGCCTAAGTTGTGCTTTGCTGAAAAATGGAAACAGCCACTAAAAATAGAAGCGAATCAATGCTCCTATTTTTGAGTCATATTTTCACTGGAAAATTCAGAATCTGTCCAATGTAAAATTGGCATTTCGATTTTGAAGATGCCGCCTTCAAAACAAAAGGCTTAGCCTTGCTCAGTGAAGTCCCTTCTCCGTCACAATAATATTGTGAGGAACTGAAAGTGCAAACATATTCAAAATGGTATTCTCACCTTTGATAGGGCAGTGAAAAAATGGACCGTCATTTATTGGAAAAGAAAATTGCCGCCTTGACGCCAAACTTGGATACGCCACTGGTTAAAACCATTTCTCTTCTCTCGAAATAGCTCCCTAGCTTTCAATTGTACTAGCATTGTCATCATCTGCATGAGTGTTCTAAAAGTTTAAGCACAGTCGATGTTAAGATTAAACGTTTTACTCGGCTGAGATTCAGTATGTGTCGGCGGATAACCGGGGTAATACTGAAGACCTTCAAGTTGTGGCTATAGTTTACAGACTCTGGCGAGGGTCTTTGGGATACCAGAAATTAAGAGGCAAGCCGATCTAGAATGGGAACATTTGCTGTGTCCCTTCCCTATATTCACAAAACAGTTCAAAATAGACCAATGTGTCTGAGTGAATCTTCATTGCTGCTTGTACGTGACTTTCGATGCAGTTATTGCCTGTGCTTTCGATGTACGAAACCCTTTCGTTATTGTAAATACAACCACTATCTTCTTCGCTCGATCCTTTTTGGTCGAAAAACTATAAAATCTGAGTTATCTGATAAAAATATGTACAAAGTAACGTCCTGATAAACATAACTTTAGGAAAAGCTTACCCTTTTCGGTCCTATGTCGGCGTTGTGAGTTCCCCATGATTGTTCCGTTGTTCAAAGGAAGGATTCCAAGTGTTTTATGGAAGGAAACCAGGAAATAATGACACCCGCTGTGATCATAATTACTCAAAGAGGGCGGAATGTTTATCAAACCTCAGAAAGAAAAATAATGATATGTAGTCATTTGATTACTGATTATGGAATCCAATTTTTTTATCATATAATATCAAGGGCGAATCTAGGATTTTTGCTGGGGGATTTTGTTTGGGGACCCCTACATATATATGCTTTTACGGACTTCCAACCCTTAAACATAGTCGCCAAACGGCAACAAGCAAAGGAATTCATGCCTGAATACTGATGAACAGATGTATTTGTAGTGATTAATGGTGAATACTGATGAATATTAGTAGTGATTAATGGTGATATCAAAATATCATTTCTGAACTTATACGGAATGTAAACAATGACAGGAACTGCTTTTCAAACGTTTGACTTTTGAACAAATTCCAAAGCACCACTTTTAATACACCCCCTCCATTTGGCATCAAGAGAATCGGGAAAATATATTACTATGAAGCGTGCCTCAGCTTGCTTGTAACTACATTAATAACCAAGCTCTGACCTTTGCAAAAGAAGTGTATCCAACGGTTTGGATAGGGGCATTCCAGTGAAAAAGCAACTTTCAGTCTCTGCCCACCAATTTGATCTCGACGTCTTGAAGTCCCTTGTTTGATAAAAGTTAGGTCCTTGCGTTGATGAAAAAATCGCGCAGTTTTATGTAGGGCCTACTTCTGAGAATAACAAATAAGCACACTTTACAATTCGCCCCCAACTTTATTACGTGAAATGAAACTTTTTTTCTGTGAAATCAAATGAATTGGTTTCAATTTTTAAAACTGAATTAATAAGATATGTAATATTTCATTCACGAAATAGAGATAATGCCATCGTTTCACTTCGGTTTTGTGGACAGTTAAAACATTATACTACAGTGGTCCGGGAGCAAGCGTTGCAGGAGAGGCGCCCTCTATCGGATATTCCTTCCAGTCAAGCTTTTCAGCGTTCATTAAACAAAGCCAAACAGTAAGTCATCTTGCTCATTCTGCATTTGAAAAAAAAAAATGTGATAAAAACCAAGATCATCACGAAAACCAGTCACTGTCTGATTGATACATTTAACCGTAACTGTGTCAATGGAGCACATTGCATGTGCTTTAAACAGCATCTGAAAAGTTATAATGAAAACTGCTCCTCAATTGCTTCATTTTAGCAAACACGCTTTCATTGAGATTCTTTTTAAGTTTCTCAAATTTTAATAATGAAAGGAAATCAAAGTGGACTTAACAAACACTCGGATTTAAGAACTTTCTTGCATTAAAATATTCCATTGTTAACATTAAATAAAACATGTAGATATTGCTAATGTGCAGTGAATCAATATTACAATTTAAGTTGATAAAAAGCTTTGCAATTACTCATGGTGGAAAGCAAAATAAAATATATTTCCAAATTTTTTTTTACAATGCTGTTGAATAATCATGTAGCTTTATATTGATTTTGAAATTAATTCCACTTGGTATAATTATTATTAACATAAATCCTGTTGCTACTAAGCTACTGTGATGTGTGTTTTTCCTGCCACAAAAGTAAAGGCCGCTACAAACCAAACTAATTCAACATATACGGTGAAAATGATAAAAATAAAACATAGGATTTAACAATTTAAGTAACTCTCTGCATTTAGAACATAATAATTCCATGAAGCATTCAAATCAAAAACTGATGCAATTAATACCATCTTGCTACAGCCTAAAAACTTCTTGCATAAACATTCATAGCAACCTTTCTCTTTACGACACTATGTTAAGTACATGTGCAAAATATACCCTGCATTACAAAGAAAAACAAAAGAGAAATCTTTAAGTAGGGGTGGAGCTTCCTGAACTAGAGGAGAAATGCTCATGAAAAACTTACTATAACTTCCATGATATACTGGGCAAGAATATCATATCAGTCACTAATATTAAACCCAGAGATATGTAATACAAAACTGCTTCAAACTGCTTGCTGACTACAGTGACCTAAACAACAAATCACAAAATAAGGAGGGCCTGATGTTTTGATCGTAGCAGAATCAAAGGCAAAATATAACAAGTAGACAAGACAAACAAACAAATGGGGAATCAACCAAGCATGGTTGAATGCAAGAGGACAAAGGGAAAGGTTAGAAAAGCTGCAGACGGGATAAAGAGGCAAAGGATAAATGTGACTGCATGAAAGGCATGGTTGAATAACAAAGCAGTGTAAGGTGGGAAGAGATCAAAGGAAAAATACAATGGAAGGAACTGGACTCAAAGGGGGGGGGTGTATAATCTGCAGACAAAAGAGAGGGACAGAAAAGAGTGTTAATTAGTAGTTTCCCTCTTGGATGTTCAGGCCATGGGGTTGTATGGTGCAGAGGCATTTGATCCAAAGCTTCTCCCTTTTGAAGCGAACAGCATCTTTATGGTGCCCAAGTGATTCTATGCCCTGTAATATCATGTCAGACATAGAATGCTTAGGAAGGTTGAAGCATTGAAGGGGTATCTAGTCGTTTGGTGTTGACCGTAGATCTGTAGCCATAGAAACGCTTCTTGAGAGTGTTCTTAGTCTCTCCAACATACTGAAGACTGCACACCCTGCAAGAGATAAGATATATGGCATTAGAGGAGCTACAAGTGACAGTGCCTTTGGTTCTGTGTCCTTTGGGCAGTTTCCAGAGAATGTATCTGATTCCAGGACATGGTTCTGGCAAACAACACATCTGTTAGAATCACACTTGAATGTGCCTTGCTGGGGGGGGGGGTGTCTGGGATGGCACTGGCCAAGCAGTCTGAAGTGTGGAGGATATGATGATTGTTGATTATTTTGTGGAGGGGAGGATGAAAAGTGGTGCCCCATAATCCTGCCTGCAGCTTTCTTGACCTTTCCTTTTGTCCTCTTGCATTCATCCATGCTCGGTTGATTCCCTGTGTTTATTTGTCCTGTCCACTTGTCATTCTGCCTTTGAGAAAGATTCTGCTACATGTAGCATCAAAACGTCAGCCTCCATATTTTGTAATATTAAGCCCTTTATATTAAGTTGAGTAAGTTTTATTGACGCAGTTGCTCTACAGTTGTTTGTTGACCTGCATTAACAAAGGCTCTCTGATGGGAATAAGGTAGGAATTTTAATGAGCTGAGGTACATGTATGTGGCCCTGTGTTACAATTTCCACATTGCCATCATGTACAAAGTCTTACTCATCTTCATTCTTTCTGAGAGACGAAGTGGTCATATTTTTCATTCAACAAAGTCAAAAACTGAATTACTTAATGTTTAATAAATGATTTTATGATTCTAATGGTAAGTAGGTTTCAAATTTTAGAATTTTACACATAGTAATTTAGAACCTTTAAAAAGAATAAGGTTTCTTTGTATTATTTGCAATAACTATTTCAAATTTTACAGCTTTGTGATAATAAATATGACAAATCATTGCATAAGTTTAATTGAAATACATATTGCTGACAATAAACTTAATTCTTGAGTGAAAAAATAAAGTCATTGTCTTAAAAATTAAGGGAAAGTAAACTGCTTGATCTTACTGTCCCAACAGAGGGCTAAGGGCGTGAAGCCAATATTTATATAAAAATAGTTTTGCGGCACCTCACAATATAATATATTTCTAACTCACAAGAAAAGTAACAAAATCAACTACTTTTATGATTTCAATAAAAATGTCTCAGGAATGGATGAATCAAGAATCTGAAATGAAAAATTCTTGGAAAGTCCAAATTATGATTATTCATGAAAATTATTGAAATATTCCGGTTTGTATTATATTTAATTGATGACTTGCTCATGATTCCAGAAATTTATACACCAGAACAGAATGGATGACCAAGACAATAAGTGATTGCAGCAGTGATTGCATGAAGTCATGGTGATATCAAAATCGTTTCACTTGAGCATTTGCTATTAGAGTATAAATGGCCTCTGACCTACATGACTAAAAAGGGTTATAAAAGACTAACAACAAAGTCACTCTGTTTACATGTGTTTTCCTCTAAAGGCTTGATGAATCGTGTTCCACGTTTGGTCCACATGTAAACAAAGCATGACATCATTGTGTTATTCTTACTGAAGAGACTCTAAATGTGTTTCAATCTAACTGCATCTTGACTTCTTGGTGCATATTGACCGAAGCAGCAACTGAACTTACTCCAATTGCATCCAAATCATCTTGGTACAACGGTGGCTCTTCTTCCAGCTGGTAAATTTAAGAGGAAATGCAATAATTTATCGAAAGTAAACAACTAGTGGCAAAAAATCTTGAATTCCTTTTAGAAAACCTAAAAATGGTGGTGATGCTTTGCTTTTAGGAATAATGGTTAAACTACAATGAAAACAGAAAGTGGCAAAAGGTGCACCTCAGCTGAAAATAATGGAATAGAAAGAAAGAAGCACGGTGGACACAGAAAAAAGAAAACTAAAATGGTGAGCTTAACAACTGAAAACAAAACTGATTTGCGTGAAGCAAAATGAATAACGGAAATGATATATGAATAAGCTAAATCACTGACAGTGATTACTGCAGACAGACTCCAATGAATCTGATTTGCATGCAGCAAGATGAATAACGGAAGTGATATATGAATAAGCTAAATCACTGACAGTGATTACGGCAGACAGACTCCAATGAACCTGTACTTCTTATAAAGCATTCATTTGAAAGTTGAGTATTTGATATCAGGACCTTTCAGGAAAGTAAACATTCAAAATGATTTTTGTCACAATGCTACCTCAACTAAAATATCTGAGTAAGAAAAGTGATGAAATTGAAATGAATGGTTTGTCTACCCATATTTGCATAATTTGCATAATTAGCAGGTGGAACAGGCTTCTTTCTTTTTCAAGAGTTGATCCATCTCAACAGCATGCAAAACCTTCACAGGAAAAAAATTACAGAAATGATCAAACAGTGACAAGATCTGCACAGAAGAAAAAACAAACTCAAAAAAATAATAGTCTAAAGGACATTCAAAGATTACAATTAAATGAAACTGTTCAAGTGCTTTTTCAAACATACAACTGTGTTACATTTGTCAGTCTTAAAACTGATGAAAACCAATTTGACCATAGTGATTGCCCAGCAGTTTATATAATGAAGCATTCTATTTCTGTCTACTACCTTTTATTTCTATCTACAGCATAAGCAGGGTGGATTTCAATGAGCAACATTTATGGGTTCTGAAAGTGAGCTAAGATGGCTTAGCTACTGTGTGTAGATTCCACAAAGGAAAGATAGAAGTTTGAGCAGGAACATTAGCACAAAAACTGGATATACGCTCATGCCTAAGTTGTCATCAACAATGTTTGAAAATACAGTCCAGAAGCAGAATTGAGTTTAATGATAACAAATGTAGGATTTAATCAAATGATATCAACCGTGTGTTAGTAAATTTCAATATACACGTACTTGTCAATTAGTGCTTTTTTATGAATCCTTTTCCTGACACAAAAAAATAGTCTGAAGAGGTTTTCCTCATTTTAGAATGAAAAAATCCTCAAGCCTCAGATTTTATGAAACCCGGAAGACCTTCAACTGCAAGCTATCACAACCCATACCAAAGGGGCGGATTTCAAATGGTATTGTATTAATGAAGTAATATACAACTTAACATTCATTTTGATAATTCTCAATATTAAAAGGTTTTGGATTAGAATTAGATCACTGCAACCCTGAGTTTAGAGAATGCATCTTCCACTTCAACAAACGAAAAGTGCTTTTAGGATTTGCAGTTCATACCGTAGTTTGAGGAGTTGCTTCATCTTTGGGGTTACTGGGGGTCTATTGGTTGAAGAACAAAATACAAAATGCAACAAATAAAAATAATAACTGTTGAAAATAAAGAACAGAACTGAAAATATATGAAACAAAAAGTGAAAAAGGGAGGTGTAGAAATGCACATGTAAATACTTCAAATGAGATAAAATAAAAACTGAAACAAAAGTTAACAAACATCCACACAGAATACACACTATGCACAGACCTTACAACTACATTTTGGGATTGCAAATGGAATTAAACAAATAAATCAAAGTGCCCAATATCAGAAACTTAGGTTTTCAAACAGAGAACCTTAAATGATTTTGAGTAAAACAGACACTATGTTAACCACTTGCTGCCGGGTGGTTGGAAAAATGCAGTGCACACATACGGGCAAATTTCAAGATTTTCGGTTTTCAAAAATCTTCAAAAATTCATCATTTCAATTAATGGAAGTTTATACCAACATGAATAACTTTCTGGTGGCCACTGTAGCCTGACAAAATCTACTGATGCCCGGGTATTTCAGCGAGGCCTGCAGCCTTGTAAAAAGAGCCCAGATTGTGCGGTTTTATAGAACTTTCTTTTGTTCACGAACCTGGCATAGTACGCTGCTGACCTCTTTTTAATAGGGGCCAGATTAGCGTACAGGGGTGCTGTGTGGCTCATCGCTGTGGTAGTGAAGCGCTTTTGTCCCCGGTGGTAATCCACTCGCACTAAATGCCCAAAACCTTGGTATACTGTTTCAAAACAAGGCTGGATTATCTCCACTACTGAGAGTGAAAAAATGTCAGTAATGCCCAGCAGCTCAGTCTTTTGTGCGGAGCATGGTCTTTTGTTACAAGGCCCAGCTCTTTTGTTCCGGTTTCAGGCTTCCCCGGCTTTGTGTATAAAGCTCATGAGCTTGAAAACGGGTACCCGGCAGCAAATAGTTAAAGCAGACTGGAACCTGCCCCACATTTACCTATATTTGTAACTAAAAAAGTCTTCAAGAAATCACATGATGAGGTTAATTTCATCATAGACTTCTAAGGGCCATTATCGTCTTTGACTTACCTGTACATTTTTACCTGTAGCGTGAGCAGGACTAAACATTGTATCTTCATTGGTACGATAAAGTAATTCTCTATCGCTTTTCTTGTTGGTACTACTGGCAAAATGGCGTGGGGAATGAAGGGATATGGATTCAGGATTGACTTCTCTTGCAGGATGACGACATCTGTAGAATATAAACAGATGTGAGTAGCATCACCATGCAATTTCAGATGACAAATTCAAAAGGCTCTCCTTGAACTCCACCCTATCAAAAGATGCACAAATAAAACAGTAACCGGAAGAGCTGGGGACAGAGTTACTGAGCCCAGAAAAAGCATGTGAATCAGATTCTAAAACAGGGTTGTTGACCAACTTCTGCTTGGCAAAGGAACATTTGCTTAGCAGTTTACTCGTGAAAAGGACTGCCGGGGCTCCCGGGCACATCAATAAGAACAGTAATGTAATTGAATTCCTGCGGGCCTTTGTTTCTCCTTACCATTGCTATGACAAGCATCCTGAGATGGGATACAAGTACGGTCTCTAAATATTAAAATCTTACCTCTGAATGATAAATATAGCTGAAACACACAATGCTGAGGCTACACCGAGCACAATGCTTACAATAAGGAATGCAGTGGGTGTCTAAACAGAATAAAAACACAAAAGCAAATCAAACTTGTTTGTTGAATATTACAACTGTTGAGGGCAGACCACTTGATTCATTTTAGAATTTATGCCAATGCATTCTCAGTGCTAAAACATACAACAGTATGAGAAACGAGAGTGTAAGTGTCTTTATTAATTCAATGGGGTAAGATCTACTTCAATCAATATATAACCTTTTACTATGTATCACAACAAACATCTACACAGTTGGGTCATTCCATGAGGTTGAGGCACAATTTGTGACGATGTCAATTGTTACATGGGTTCTGTACAAATGAGCAGTTATTTCTCTGCATGTGGATTCCAAATTGACATTGTTATACATATTGAAAGGTTGAATGCAAAGGTGTGTCTTATATTGACAGAGTAAATGACGTACTTTACAGGTCATGACAGGTGGTAGAAGTTTTGGATGTCACAAGGACACCATCACAAATTGTGCCCCAACCTCATGGAATGACCCAGTTATCTTCAGTGCACTTGGAAATTATCTGATTCTTTCGACTGTCTTACCATGTGCCAAACAGGTGCTTTGATATCGTAGAGATCTTGACATGCACCACTGGTAATAGTTTGCGTCCCAACACACCAATAAATAGAGTATAACGCAGGAGTGTTGATTATGTAGATATTCGTGGTGATGAAATTCTCAGCATATAATCTATCAAGTGTATAAATGATTGAAATTATTCAAAGTAAGAAATAAATTTGGCTTTTAAGGTATGTACATGTACAACATTCCTCGTCCTTCAATTCAAATGGCATCTTCCAAGAGAACCATACATATTTCCAATCCTTATTGATTGACACTGGCAATTAGGAAGTTTTTCTCTCCACATCTAAAACACGAAAACTTTCTTTGCTGTCATATCTTTTAAATGTTTTTGCATCATCTATGTTAACTTTTCAAACCTGATATCATCTTCATTGACCTCTGAAAACTCTGCATTGACATTAGTGATGTTTTCATCCAGCATTTCATCGACATCAAGCCAGCCTTCAGCAGTCTGCACAAAGCCTGGAGCTTTCTTTTCAACCCAACTTCTACTTTCATTGTGAAGCCACCAAACCTGACATAACCCAACACAGGAAGAACCTTACCAAATGTTTTAATGGAAAGTAGGAAGTCTAGAAACTGGAAGGGCTTGGCAAACAGAAATGAAATTTGTGCATGCTGTGACCTTGTATATTGCCTTAAACGGTGAATTACAAACATGATGTATAACAAGAAATCACTTGGTATCATTGCATTTGTATGGTTACACTCTCTCATAAATGTAGCTTGCTCTAGTGGTATTACAGAACTACAAGGATGTTGATTGATGAGCACGACTAATGAGCCCTCACACATAACCTCTTACAAATATATCTGCAGCACCGTAAGATAATCTTACTCTGACCACACAGCTTAGGTAGCGCTTGGTAGCGCTTACCTAACTGGCTATTACAGAACCAAGTCATGAATATTTCACCAACCTTTTCTTGTTGAATCCCTGAAGCTAAAATCATGTCAACCACCAGCTGCGTATAGTTATGTCGGAAATGATGTCCTTTGGGTGGTTTAAACACATCAAAAACCACAGTCTTGTTGTACAGGACACCAAGCTTCAAGAAGTCCTCAAAACCAGGGATTTTCTGTTGTTTGTATTTCTCTCTTGTTTTCTCTGGGACATATTTCAGTTTATTCAATGGGTCCCGCTGAAAGCATGACAACAAACAAGGTGAAAATATTTTGATTCACTTGTTAATGTCTTCCTGCAAAAGCAGACCTAATGTTTTATTCTGTGGCTGTAACTAGAAGAATGAGTTGCAGGAAATGAACTGGATGTGGTCAAGATGTACTTTGCATCGGGAAGACGTTAATTTTAATTACAAGTTTTGCCCTTACCCGACATAATTAAAATTAACATATCTCCACCACAAGCTACATCTTGACAATAGTTTGCGGTACCCGCTGCTACACCTGACTTGGACCAACCAGCCAATCATCAGCAAGCTCAGTGGTTGAGTGGTTAAGACACCTGCAGTAGTTAAAGCAGGAAGTTGGGGGTTCGAGTCCCATCTGAGTAAGCCTGTGAATTTTTTTTCGTAAGCTCTCGGACAAGCACTAGGTACACAGTGTTTAGAAATATGTATGTCTGGTAAGGGCAAAAACCCGTAATTAATATGAACTTAATGTGATCTTGATTTACAAAATTTTCAATTCCTTTCTTTGGAGAACAGTTAAAATTCAGTCATCATTCAAATCTCGAACAGTACGGATAAATACACGAATTAAATGCAAAATCAAATTTTCTTATTTCTTTTTCTTTTCTTTTTTTACAAGAGTTGACCTATAAAGCTTATTTTACATCAATACACATGAACCATTCACACTTTCCTGTATGCATTCCAACAAGATTGTTACCAAAAGATTCAAGAAAACTAGGTGAGTGTTGTACACCATCTCCGACTACTACTGACTCAATCTTGTTTGTGTTGACAAAGTGAACAGGACATTAAAAACAAAAATCAGACATTTCAGTAAACTATTACTGGGTGATATTGCCACCAGGTGATAACCTTGTGATTGTGTTTTAAAGCGCCTATTGATGGGATATAAATTACCTGAAGGAACCACGAACCAGCGTCCAACTTTTGTAACTCATTCCATGTGAAGCTCTCTGATAAATGGTCTGTTCTATTAGGGAATACTTCATGCACATTGGTGGTTCTTGCCAGAGTACTGTCATGCATTAAGAATGGTATGCCATCCAAACTGGGAAAGAGAAGTAGAAAAACGAATAAGATAGGATTTGAATTCTGGATGAATTGAGACCTCTCTTGGTGAACAAAATCAATTGTGACTCGAATTGTGAATGTTTAGTTTGGGCTGAGACTTTATCTTGGAAAGTTGATTTTTACTATTAAACAAACATGCATCCATATACATGTTAACAGTGCTTCTTATTTCTCTTACATATGAGCAAACAGGCAGATCAACTTTGGATAGAAGCAAAATCGCAGGAAAAAGGGAAATAAAGGTAGCCAAAGATGAGAAACAAGAACTTATGGAGTCACACATGAATTTAGGCAATTAGTCAAAAGATGATAAAAATGACAAACAAGGAGAGAGACAAACTAACAAAGGAGACCGATGGTGGGTTAGACAAAAGGCTTACATGAAGGAAAGAAGATATGGGACAATGAAGGTTGCGTAGTAAATTTGATGATTTTCATACAAGATGATGGAATAAACCTCAGAACCTTGTCCATATTCTAACCTTATTCTTACGTCCGTCTCAAATCCATACACAGAATAATTGGCTGCTGTTTGATAGGAAATGACGGTGTTTTCAGGAGCAAGCTGGGGATGAAATTAAAAGTACATGAAATATAATACATACTTTAATTTGGATTTTAAGTTCTAAGACAACATTTCTTATCTACAAAACATCAGTAGAAAATGCTATTAATTTAGCTTTGCATCAGAGTGATGTTGATTTTATACTGGGTTTTAACGTCTGTCAGACACAAAGCTGACTCAACATCACTGACTGTTTGCGGTACCTGCTGCTGCATGGATACAAGCCAGCCATGCCAAACTTGGTGACCGAGTGGTTAAGACCTCTGCACTAGTAAGCAGGAATTGTGGGTTCGAATTCCACCTGACCAAACTTGTGATATTTTCATTAACTCTTGCACCACGGTGTGAATATACATCGTTGTGAGGGTAAAACCTAGTATGAAAATTAGAAATCGCTGACAACTTCTTGAAATAAGACTAACTTGTTCAGCTCCTCTGTGAGCAATGATTGGGGGCTTGGCTGGTAGATCTACCGTGTTGATGACACATGGTGGATGCATAATTAATGGACTAAGATACACAAATAGCAGCAAGATGGTGTATGCTATCAGAGAAATACACCGACAGGCTACAAAAAGAAAAATTTAAAGAGTTCTTAGAAATTCTGTCTATTTACAAAAGAGCAATGAATTCCATTGCAAATGGAATTGAACACAACGTAACAAAACACAGTCCTTGACACACTTTCTGATGAGCTCTGGCCGCCAAAGCAGAAATGTCCACTGTATCACTGTGTGCAACAAAGAACATCACAACTTGAAATTGTTCAATAATTACTGAGGAGGAACTGCAGACAGTAGACACTACACCTAACTCCTCAAAACAATACTTCAAGTATTTGTTGCTCAGGTTTTCTTAGCAATCCACACTAGATTTGTTACAAACCTACACATGAATGATCAGTTTAAAAACTTGGGTCCACACAGTGATGGTCCGCTATCTAGTCACAAGGGTCTGTTATTGGCATGTCTTTCTACATGAGTCCACACAGTGATGGTCCTGTATCTAGTCACACGGGCTGTTATTGGCATGTCTTTCTAAATAGGTCCACACAGTGATGGTCTGATAGCTATTGGGAATGATCCCACAGTGCTGTTATCGATCTGATGCACTCACCTATTTGGTGATTTCTCCACCAGAGACCAGCAAGAGGCCATGCTAAGACCGTCAGAATCACAACAGCAACTATTTGAAGAACAGGTGCCGTCACCTATAAACAGATGAATTCACTGACAGGTGTGAACAAAGCTGGAACTCAATGTGCTGTAAAGCAAGTACACGTATTTATACTAGTAGTGTATGAGAGCAGCATAATGTAAACAGTCCTTTGGAAAGAAAAATATTGGAAGATCCTTAAGTCCTAAAAACAACCCAGAAAATCCAGGTAATTCTGTTAGCAATGACAATACATATACACATGGTGTATCAGGTGAGACTCAAACATGGATCACCAGAGCTTGAAGCGACAATTTGGGAAACCTAACTACATAATTTGGTTGATTTTTGTTCGTTATCACAAAGACAACTTACCTGTAATGTTAATGCAACTAAGACCCATTCACTTTTCCATAGCTCGGTGAGGACAATCACTACAATGATGCATGATGCAAGAATCAACACCACAGGGACTTTATGGACCCAATGGAGGTATAGCTGCCGTCCTGTTATGCCATGTGCAATGGCTAATACCTAGAATGAAGTAGTAATAATAAATGGAGAAGGTGTCACACAATATATATACCCAGATTGGAGAATACAGAAAAACCCCATTAAAACAGGCCTTACACACTTATTACATGTTACATACCCTGATGAGGGGACACATGATACAGTCCACATAAAATCTAAGCATTGTAGGAATAATGCAGCTGATACTGGATTGATCAACACTTCATTAACAGGTCAGATCTCCAACAACTTCAACCACGTACCCTTCTTTACTTCTAAACTGAGGGATAGACTTAATATTACTCATTAAACATAGCGTAAGGTTACTTACCACAAGTATTCCCACATAGATGAGTGTGAGTATGGTTAGAATGTACAGCAACATGAACCAATTGAACCAACTCTGCAACTCTCCATAAATGAAACTAAACCAAAATAAACAAAAATAAACTTTGGTAAATATCATGCTGCAACAGAAACAAACATGTGGTACACAACAGGTGCATGTATGTGTTTGAGTGATATCAGTCCTATATATAGGATTATAAATGTTATACTTGGGAAACCCTTGAAGAGATAGAACGTCAACAAGCTTTAAGGTGTACCTCTTGCCCCATGAGAATGTTACATCAATTATAAGGTATGATGAATGAATTAATAACTGAAGGTTTGAAAGTATTTCAAAAAAAGTTATTCTGAATGTTGAACAAGTGCACCTTGTTTGACAACAGAATTCGTTTACACACAAATATCTCAATTATCAACCACAAAAGCCAAAATGTTTAAAGCTAAACAAGGATCATGACATGGTATGGTGAGAACCATTTGGGTGGAAGCCAGTCAATCTGAGCATTGCAAGGAATTGACCCCAGAGATTCTATCTTCTTCCTGGAAATCCACAGCTTTTGTATGCTCTTGTATCTAGCTGTCACTAGTTGATTACTTCCTCTCACTTGATGACCTCAACAACTGGGACATGCAAGACAAGATTATCAAGGACCCTACATGTACATGTATGGATTCTGCAAAATCCAAAGCTTACCTATTGAAATCTGCCAAATCATTTTGCGCCATGACCCAGTAGTACAGAAACATAATGATAAAAGAAAAGCACACTGCCACCAGAAGAACCCATGCTTTCTCAAACTGAAAAAAAGGAGAAATTTGTAGGACAACTCAATTCACAAAACACACTGTGTGAAAACCTTTTAACTTTCTAAAGGTTAATAGCCTCAGGCAACAAGTAATAGTGAGTGTTTGAATATTTCACACCTCTCTAAAAGGTTTGCTGAGATACGACAGGTGCCTCAACCATTACACTGGAGTACAGTACATGAAGACAGAAGCAAGAATTCAAATCTTAAAATACATGTACATGCACTTCATTGAAATACAGAACCTATGAACAGCACGTTGTTAAGAATGATTGATTTCATCAATTAAGAAAACCCATGTACACGTAGTACAAAACTGAGTGACACGTAGTAACTTTAACTGCCAACAACACGTATGAACATATCTTACTAAATATTTAATTAAAACATGTAAAAGCTTCTTTCTTATCACTTCATACGGGTTATATTACTTGACTTGTTTCATCAATGAAATTTTAATTCTGCAACACCTTTAGGTTCATCAACCTGAACTTAATATTCTGCATTTCACAAGGGGCTCCTGGCCAGTTTCTTCTAATGTACATCTAGTGTCATCTAATTATGGAGGTATTGCACACAAAAATGAACTCCAATTAGTATAAATAAGAATAAATCAGTACCTTTGTTGTGGGTTCTGTTGACCTTTGATATCTTTTCCACCTGCATCCATAGAGACCAGTCATGACAGACAGACACACCTGCTGTTTATAGTTCTGTGTGTTCTCCAAACGAATGTGAGAAACCATCTTGACACCTAAGCAGTACCCACTGACGCTTGCAAGTAAAGATGAATCTGATCTTGAAATGTGCTGCAGAGGAGTTTGTCCTGAGCCTCAGGGGTCAGACAAGGTCATCTGATTGTTTACTAGTTACTGATTGCAATTTGCAGTAAGATCACTTACGTGAACCCTCTGTATACATATACTGTATGTGCAGTGCTGAATCCATCCAGGGCTGAGTTACAGACAAGAAATGCTTACAGTCCTACACACTCTCATCCCCGAAGCTGATATGACGTCATCAATTCCTAGTTTCCTGATGTCTGGGCTTGACTGAACAGCGTCTCTATGGAATACACTCATGCAATGCCAACGGATGTTAAGGTATCCAGTCATGTTTGTGCAGATTGTCTATCCTTCCATGGCTGATCTGTGAATAAATTGAGAATGAATTAAAAAATGAATTCAAAGAACCACTGGAAACCAGTTTCAGAGTTGGAAATGAGTCAGTCACAAATGAACACAAGTCAGTCCACAAGTCAATTCATACGAGTCACCTCACAAATCAAGTCAGACCTAAAGAGTTGAAAATGACCTGATGACAAAGGAAAGCCTTTGTCACAGTTTATTTTGGATAATACATACCCATACTAACATCAAGCTCACATCTACATGTACCTGTAGTTACACATGCACTTTTGCCTGTAAAGTGTCCCGAGTAGAAAAATTTATTCCACAGCTTAAAACTGCATGAAGCAGAGTGGTCATTATTCATAGTGCCATAGACAGCAGTTACCATGAACACTTTGTCAATTGACTCAGCAAGTCCAGTACACATGTATCTACACAGGAAGATATCAAGGACAATTCACTCTGAGGAAGGCTTGACCTCTCTGACCTTTTTCTGACTAAGCATCAATGTTTTGGCATTATAAGATGTGAAGGTGGAGACCTAAACCAAATGATGAGTGCATTTGCAAGATAGCAGTCACATGACCAACAAGAATCATTTATCAATCAGATGAGTGGCTGAGTCATACACTGTGTCCGATCTGTGTCTATCGTCAGCGTGTCTCTGTGTATTTTATATTATGGAGAGAAGACCTAGACCGAGCTCTCAACAGATTTAAATGTAGCCAGAGACTGGCCTGGAATAAATTAACATCTAAATATTGATTATTAGAGGGCCTATTTAGTGCCTGATAAGACTCCTTGTTGGGCAGAGGGGTTGTTTCCGTAATGTGACCACTGATGTGACACACTATAGTGTGTATGTGCAGACACTTAATGTGCAGTGTGTTTTCAGGATATCAAAGAACCTGTAATTGATGGACCATCTTTAGGGTCAGTATACAGGAACCAACACATAGTACATGTACATTGCTGGGCTAAATACTCTGGCCAGTACACAATAGATTTGACATGGTACATAGTACATACGTATGGACCAAGTCAGGGTTTACAACAGTAACAGTGATAATGTACTCATGTATTGGATAGAAAGTAAAAGGGCACAGAATGTTTAGACAAAGAACATGACAAGAGTGAGTTTTCTAATGCAAAAGAAAAAGCCATGCTTTGTGTAGATTCATGTATACATGAATATTCATGTAGAGTTGATTAATGTTTGACAATTGTAAATCTGTGTTTATAGACATGGTGTATGTGACTCTCTTGAAACCTACATTATACCATAATTACCTCTTGTTCCTTAATGAATACAATTTGTGAGTGGATAGGCAGAAGCTTCTATAATTAATCACAGTGGGAATAATTAATGGGGGAAGGTATCCATGGCAACACACAGAAGATGAGGTTGAAGTTGGCAATTTGTAGTGGATTTCAAATATAAACCAGACAAAAATATGAAATTTATGAAGAATAATGCAATTGTGCCATTTAGAGGCAATTCCACTGTGAAAGATGAATGACAGTGTACTATTTCTTATCAATGGCAATGACATACATATAAAGGAAGTCAGAAAAGAGGAAACTTGCTCATCACAGGATTGAATGTATAATTTACTGTACATTAAGTAACATGTACTGTACATGTATTTGAACAAATCAATGCTGTAGTCCAGAAGTTTAAACCAAATACTAAACTGGACAGTGAAGAGGGAACAACTAAATGAATATATAGAGCATGGGCATTGGACTGTACATGTAAATGCACGTTATGTAAGATTACTACTAAATAAAATGATGACTTCAGACCATCACTGTTTGATTGAAATTAAGGTTTTATGACAAAAATACTCAAAAGTACTTGGCTTAGTACTTTTTGATAGTTATGTTTTACATGTAGTTTTATACACAAATGTAAATACCTACAGCTCCTTCAAAAGTAGACTTATGACACCAACATGTCATCATAAAAACCCCTAAGTTATTTTGACTTGTGTAGAAAGAGTAATGAAATCTGACTGTTTTGAGCTGTTCAAGAGATGTTTACTGGTGTGATGAAAGATTCTTTGAGTTTATCTCTACTTTATATAGTCTAATTGGAATTTCACACAAGTACATGTACATGTAAATTGGGTAAAGATAGGGGTATTCAACTCAATAAAGAAAAGCAAGAAATTAGACCAGCTGTGTGGTTTTGAATGCAGTTGGTTGAAGTCTCCTCCAGGTAGAAAATTCCTGCACTTACCCAGGCCCCTAACATTTTATTTCAAAGTGCTTAGACTTGTCAAATGTTATCAAGCAATCCTAACCTAGTGGACCCCAATCTGCCAATAGCAATACATTGTACATAAACTCTACTGAAGGTACACATATTGTCATCCAACTACTACCAAACCTGATCAAAATTTCACCATGTTCACATTTTGAACTATTAATGAAGACATGCTGCGGGTAAAAAAGTTGTTCATTCAAAATTTAAATAAGAGCAGTAGGCTTGCTGAACATATTAAGGTCTAGGCTACGTACATGCACTAACGTTAATCTGGCCTGTCTGGAATGAACACTACACAACATAACATTAACCATGCACTGGGTTTTAGTCAGCAGTTGAAAACAGGGTGTCCACATTTGTAGTAAACAAACACTGGGTAGCCTCAACCATGGAGGATTTTTGGAGATAGAAACACACCACATCTAGCAAAGACCACGATCCAACAATGTCTTGCATGACACGATGCATGAACATGATGATATTATGGTCAACATTTTTGTTACGATTTTAATGACATGTTACCTCAGACCTCATCGAATCATTGCTCAACAGCAGCATGCAGAGTCACTGGTTATCAGGCCACATTCCCTGCTTTATTCCCTGTGCAACTTATCAGAAAAATGATGCAAATCAGAGCGAAACACTTCCGGACATGATGAACCTGCGTACCGGCGAGAATATAATGATAACTTAATCATAAACCAATGAAAAAAGATCTTCTATAATACCTTTCTTCACCCGGAAATGTTAAAGGCAAACGTAATATAATTCGCCACGAATCCGCTATTTCCAAGACAATTACCCAATCAAGTATCTTGTACGATAAAAATTATGGACAAGTATTAAAGCGCCAAGATTGCGCATGCGTAGGTTCTATTGAAGATGGCGGACGATTTGGACGTGTTGCAGAAAGACTGCAAATTTGAGTTAATTTTTCCTTCAAAAGAGCCTACAAACTGGCTTGATGTTCACCACATTTCACCCAGATGTAAAATTTACTCTGGAGAGCGAGTAAGTTTTGCTCTTCTAGTGCAGTATGTCGGTGAAAATCACTGCAAGGAACGGGTACAAGAATGGCAGTCGGCAATACGTTCCATACATTGCAAAGCGCATATCGGCTGCTCTGTAACTGAAAACAATGCACTCCCAATGTGTGTTACGAAATCACCTGGCCGATCGAAATCGGGTGGGCGGAGTCACAGCTCCAGGCAGTATAACTCATTAAGTAGATCAGCTAGAATTTGCAAACCGTTTGAAACATTCAACACTGGAAAAACTGCCACCAGAGAGGTAAGAACTTGATCTAGGCCTATGCCTACACTAAGCCTACACTGCGGTCTAAAACTTTTACTTAGACAATGTTGGACATGTAAGATGGATGGGTCACGTCACTCTGTTATCGCACTACTTATCATATTTTCCAAGTGAAATTAAGATTGCTCACTCACCTCCCTGAGTTATCCTATCCTTGCTGTTTTTAACTTGATTCATTAAAGTTTGTGGTTCAATTTATTTTCCTCTACGATAGCTCAGAAAATTTGTGTGCGCACTGTATGCAAGCGCAGGTGGAGTCTCTATTATCGTGGTATTGAAAAATGGTTTCTATGATGGCCGTTAAAGCTCTTTGTTTATGAATAAATAAAGATAGGCCTAAAAAGAATCAATAGTTTTGTTTTCAGAGGAAGCAAAAGTGCTTCATTTTGTGATAATGTTCCATTTTACCTGTAATTTCCTCCATTTTTCCAGCTTCCTCCTTAAAGGTGCCAAAGGCTGGGAACAATTGTACTGCATCACTTTTCACTTTATTAAAATTTAATCCGGAGAGGAATGACTTCACTTTTTTTCACCAGAACTTGTTTACCTAAATCTTAAATGTAGCAACAACTTTGACATTCATCTTATTACTTGAATTGGTATTTTGCCAAAGGAAAAATAAATATGCGGTATTGCAAAGTCCACTTTTTTGATGGACTCATTCTGTTATCAATGTCTGAAACAACAATTAAAAATGTCTTCTTTCTAAATTCTAGTAACAAATATCCATTGCAAATTCTTCATATTGTATTAGAAAAGCAAAAAATTGCGACAGTAATGCTGACATATGGTAATTATTCGCTAATTGCCCCACGCGCGGAGGGTAAAAGTACGATCAATACAAGTCTGTTGTAATGGAGATTGGGGGGGCGCGCTTTATGCATGCAAAATGTTTTTCATCACAGAAGCTCTTATTTTGACCCCGAAAAAAACTGGGCATTTTTGTATTTTATATGTGCCTTTAGACACCTTTGGCCATTTCGAAATTGACATACGTGTATACCCAGCAACGGATATCCAAGGGCAGGGTGGCATTAGAAAAAGGAGAATTTACACATTTACACATTTCAGAACAAGTACATCTTTTATTGAAAATTATCAAAACTTATGGAAAGATCCAGAATTTTTCTCTCTGTTTTAATAAACCGTATCCTCAGGCCATAAATTATTGATTACCTGGGCGAATATTGTCGATTGTCGATTGTCGATTGGGAACTCATTGGCAATGCAAAATAAAAAATTTACGATATTGCAATAATAGAGTTACTGTGATAATATTGGACCCTACAGATACATGTACATGTAGGTAAGACGTAGGGTCTTACGTTTTAAGCTTTGTCTATGTCAATGCATAGAGCAAGAAGTAATTTGTACATGTATGGTCCTAGTTAGCTGGACTAGTGTTAAAACTTTATTTTACACATTATCTGATTATGACCACGGTACACTAATTACGTAAGGCATGCATGACAGTATTACTGACTGTATGTGTCATGTGGAATACTTTTTGGCCCTACTTAAAATCATAAATGTTAAACGAAAATTACATGTAGTTTGAAACAGCTAGGCCCTAAATATTGGACAATGTTGGAAAATAGTGACAGATAACAGAAAAATGTTTGCACATTGCACATCTTAATTTCAAGACTTTAACCAGGAAACTATCCTGTGTGGGGGAGAAAGTTTATGTTTTCTGTGTTAGATGTTCTTTGCAGGATGTGTGGTCACAGTTCATGCACATGTTTCTGTAGAATTTTTTCACAGTGTTTGCTGAAACAAATCTTGAAAATACAGCTTGTGCTACACATCATATTTAGACAGTTATTATCAAGGAGGGTTGGTCATTTTCAAAGATTGTTGCAGAAAGAGTTTCAAATATGGACAGCACTAATTTCCCTAACCAATCATCAGTGCTCCACAGTTTTCCTATACTTAAAAACACTTGTATTTTTTTCGGACAGGTCACATACATACATGTACATGTAGGTTTGTGCACAGGGGCATCAAGTGCTGTCCGCATATATACATGTATATATATAAAACTTTTTCTGATGTTACTTTTTCCATGCTTTTCCTGCTTGATTTTAGTGGGGGGGTATAGTAAAATCTTTCCGACCAGTTGACCTTGAACTTAACGGGGACTGCTTGTGGACATGCCCAGTGAATGGTTTCAGTGATTAGTAATAAGTTTTATCCTGGCAGTTGTAACAATAACAACAGTAAGATATTGCCAGTTTGTTGAATAGAAATTGTTGTAATGTGCATTCCTAGCTGCCTAGTGATAAGGAATGACATGTAAGACCTTTTGGATGACTCAGTTTGATCTCCATGTGTCTTTGATATTACGAAAGTATGCAGGCATACAATGTACATAAGTTGTGAAGTTTGAACGTTTCTTTACACAAATGTAGGTCCGGGGAATTTTTTTCCTAGGGATAAAGTCGAGCTGATTTTCGTTTTCTGTGCACCAGGATCTGTAATCTTGGACCTACTGGGTGTACACCTTAAGAGGTTGATTCTTTGATTCAAAAGCTGGGACTGATTTAGATGAAGTTGATTTCAAGGGAGTTTACTCTGATTAAATACATGTAACACAAGCACCATGAACCAATAAGCAATTTATAATCTACCTGACTTGCTTTGAGCTTGTACATTCTTGAAAAATAAAAAAATTTCAAGCGCTGATAATGCTGTTGAATGAGAGATGTAAGTAGAGTAAAGTAGGACGTTCTGGGTCAGTTAAAACAACCAAGTCGGCAGCCGCAAAGGTGGCTGATAAGAATGGCTTTCAGTAAATTCATAATAAATTACTACCAATCAACCAAGGTTCATTTGCTGAAAAATAATAAAACCTTGTATTAAATGGTATTTAAATAGTTAATGGAGTGGTTAAAATTTATTCAAAATTGTTTCAACATAAAGCCGGTAGTGTGATGTACATGTACATGTAAAAGGGACGACATTTGAAACGTTGGAAATAAGCTTTTGTATGTTTAAGACTATACATGTAGCTATCATTTTTATGTTGCCTTCAATTCATTTCTCAGTGAACCAACTGAATCAAGACATTTTTCAATAATGTTCCAGTATTTTACAGACCTCTCCCCATGACTTGAACATCCATTATTTATTCTTTATCTTTTGTTTCTTTGCAATTTACATATTACAGTACAATCATATGTTACAGTGACATTTATCTCTCCGTCTCTAAGTGTGCCTGTTCATGTAAATAATGCACATGAGTGTATTTATTATTGAACTTGTTCTTATCCCTGATGATTGATCAATTAATGGACCTGCATGTTTGTACATACTATACTCAATGTATTCTTGTACAGTGTACGACAGATTATATATGTACTAACTGACAGCAGTTTGGCTGTCAGAGCCCATTAGATTTCCAAGATACACACTCCAAAAAAAAATCAATATCTTTTACTTTTTAAAATAGCAGTACGCAGAAATGGTGACATTGAACAAATGTAGCCTATAGTCAGTGTTAGTGTTCCACACCAAGAGACAATACGCACAAAGCAATGACCTCAGCAAGAGTCCGCACTGTTTTCACTTTCACGTTGAACATGCAACTAAACCTGTTGGATTTTTACTCGACCTGATACCCTGCCAACGACAGTAATGTCAGAGAAGCAAACAGAATTTTGTCACATGCTGGACGAAATCAATACTAGCATGTCTTTACCAAAGTTAGCTACACTTGTCTTCAGGTAAATTCCATGATGTACGTGTACTATTCAAATATTTAGGTGTATGCATAAGCGTTACATGTAGTTCGGGGGGGGTTCAGGAAAAGTTTCAGATTCCTCAGAATTGACAATGAAAGGTTTCTGCTGCATACCGGTACGTGAACGCAGTTCCATTTTGTTGCATTCATATTCTTACCAAACATGAATAAAAGCTCTAGCATCATACTATTATTGTACACTGAAGGGACAGAATGTTTAAACATGCCATGAATGTACATTGTATGTACATATATGTATGCATACATTCAGTGGTACATTGTACATGCACATATGTGAGCTGTTATCATGTAAACTGGCTGCTTTAAATGATATTGACTGTCACAGGTAATATTTGATTACTTACAGGTTTTCCATGGTTGGTGTGTGCTGTATATTTCTGAATTCATGTCCTTAATGGCTACACACCAAATAATTAAATCAAATCATTCATGTAGACATGTTTACAAGACACTTTATGGTGGAGTAGTAAATGCGTGTTATGTACAATTGAATTTGCCATAGAGTTGTGCATTATCACACCAGGCCATAGTTCCCCATAGGCCATCATGTCATCCTGAATCTATTACAGATTCTATACATTTGCCATAGGTACCTGTATGTACACGCATATACGTATCTGTGTATGACTCATCATTCTAGGATTAATGCACAGGGCATCTCATGTGGAGAGTCTTGCCCTAGATACACATGTAACAAGGATGTGTGCTAGCAGGAAGCTTAGGTTAAATAGGTACTGTACAGTGCATCCTGATATTATGGATAAACCTTGACATTTTTTGTCAGCAAAAAATCAATTTCCTTTTCTTTTGATTAAATATAGTGGCTCTTGTATGCTTCAAGTTACGGTTGTTCTGACTATTTCAATGTAAAAAATTATTTATTGTTAAATGACATGGTTTTCTGATGGGAAAATGCAGTAAGTCCAACCAAAAGGATTTTTGGTTATTCGTAAACTAAGTTTCTATGCCTTTAATTGCAGTTATCAGCTAAGACAAACAGATCCCTTGGACCTCTTAAGGCGTTGTTGCTATTTTCTTACAGTAATTCCTTATGTTTAGCTATGGACGCGGGGCTGTTGATAAATTTGTTTTGTTTTCAACCATTTTCCTCCAGAGTGACCCAATCGTACACAATGATATTGTCATCTTTCCCCTGAGTGCTTCACTGAACACCTTGCCAAGTTCACTGCGTACCCTGACTGTTTCAGTCCACCTCACAAGTCAAGCTGCATCCCGTAAATACCCAAGAGAAAACAACTACCGGTACTTTGATTTTCTCATGCAGTTACCTATGGAAGATGTCTTTCAGCTACAGCGCCCTCTGCTAAAATGCACTGGTAAATACATGATTAAATCCCATAAGCAAGGTGAAATACATCTATTAGTAGGCTCACCATCAACTGTGTTGCTCATTGTAAGCCATGTCAGGCAATTGTTATAACATGAGAGTTTTAAGTCTTTTTTCAGTGGCTATTGATGAAATCTTTCAGGAAGATCACCTCTCATTATATGTACAGCCAAATTGGTTGTTTACCTTTCAATTAACCAAAAAAAAAAATCCAATTATGTCCTGATGCCCCTGTAGGTCTTTAATCAGTAGAAAGAATTCCATCCCAGCATGCTTAATAATGCTACCATAACAGTCAGTACCTTGCTCAGCATGGGTCAGGTCAAGATGGTTTAATACATGTACATGCAGGGTATGTGCTTTGCTGATGAAAATTCTAGGCTTTAGTATTCGCAGAAGTCCTGTGCCTCAAACTGTCATTGCCTCAAAGAGTCACGCCACTTTTGTCATCGTTATGAGTACTGGTTTTGTGATCATGTATCAATAATTTTCTGAAATATAATTTTGAGATATGTTTGACAGATTTTTGTTTCTACTTTTTCATTTCTGTGTATTTTTTGTTAGTGAAAGCAGAGTTGGCAGTACTACCTCCGCCTGAAGTTCGATTCCAGCATGTGGCTGTGGCTGGCAAGCATTTTCTTATCATTAAGGGTAAGTTCATTTACATGTTCATGTCTATGTAGAATAAGAAAACAAGCTTGGTGCTTAGTTCTACATTTTAGAAGTGCAGTTGAAAGTAAATAGTGATACAGGAACCCATTTTTAAATTCAACTCAAAACCCTTTGTCTTTTTCTCTAGATTTTCCATTTTCATTCTCATTGACTGTTTTGACAGTTCTTCCTACTTATCTTTGTATCAACAATACATATCACCTTTTACCAAATATGATCTCTTATTTTGTAGTTAGCAATGACTATGCAGAGAGGCTGATCATAGACCAGGTTGATGTGTTATGGAATAAGAACCACAGTCTACAACATGCGTCCCATCCAGCCTGGCTCCACAAGACAGATCAAGCTTCAGAAAATGAGTACGTTGTTCAATTTCAATAAATTAACTCGTAGTATTCATGTGTATGCAAGTGTGGCAATGAGGTATAGCTTTGATAGGAATAATTTATTTGTTGATAAACTTTTGTACTCTGGCAAATGTACATGTACTTAGGATGTACTGGTTGCTATTCCTTGCAGTGTGGTGGATGAGATGGATAGTACATTCATAGAGTTGGTTCCTAGTCCTACATACCACACACCGTCATCACTTCAACCATTAGAGCAACATGCATTTGTCTTCCAGCTTCATTTCAGTCAATTCTGGAGAAGCACACCTGCTAAGGTATATGCATGCCTAGCTGGAGACCACCATCCCTGATTAAAATACAAATGAAATTGAGGATTTTCTTCCGATGCCGTGCACATGAGAAATCTTTTTAATTTTTGAAATTAGAATGTTACCAGCCAAACTATCATTTTACACTGTATGTGTCTCATCTGACTGGTTCCGTGTTGATAATTTGCTCAGCAGAGCTATGCTTTCCATTTTAATTTGCAGTATGAATTGTGATCTGTTTCCATATAATGAGATTCAGGTTTTAAAGAATCACTCACAAGTAAATCCTTTTGAAGATGCAAGTTTTTCAGTTTTTGTACTCATTCAGCATCTCAAAGACCTGAGTGAACAACAGTATCACACCTGTATTCCATTAGAAAGCTCACTTTCTTTTTTGTTCAATGATTCTGTATTCCTAATTTTCACTCCTGTAGAAGCAGGTCACAGATTTACATTAGGTTGAATTAATTATTTTCTGCTAATCCATATTTATAATTAACACTAATGGTGTAGCCATTTTTCATTTCATATCCACTCAGGGCATTGAGTTGCCTTTGTTACTGAGTATCACATGGCTTGTGCAATCTATGGTGGATAAGCAAACCGTCTGCACTCACTACTCACTGCCAAGTCTGAGATTGGACTTTCCATCTTTCATCATGTCTGCACTGTGTCCGTCACCCATACAGGTTGGCAACAGGTTCGTGACTAGGCTAACATTGTTCTCATTCTGTGCTTTCACTGTTTGTGCTCTGTCCTCATTTAAAACATCCAGTTTATCTACAAATCACTTACTGCACCACAGGCACTGATTTCCTACTAGTAATGAGGTTTGGAAACAGTATGATTTTTGATAATCTGTCAATGTGCCGTAATTAATAGGTTCAAAATCACTTCTTTCAATTCTCAGACCCTAGCTTGGATCAACTTCTCTGCCCTCTCTCAATTTCATCTTTGTCCATTGAGCTTCCTGTATCTTTGCTAAGCCCATTTCCTGAGCCTTCTGTCAACTAGACCTTGACTAAGCTTCTCAGCTGTCATCCCAGCTGTATTCAGATACTCTGTAGGGCCCCATTAATATTAAAACAGAAAGGATCCAATTAAATTCACAGCATTGCAAAGTAAATTATTGTTTGCAAAACAGAAAACAAAACATATACTGTACATACATGCATTATTAAAAAGATTTGATTAATGTAGTGACCCAACAGTTGAAATCTCTGTGTACAGGTGCATAAGAGTAGCATGTACCTGTATCATATTATTGAAAAGCAATATGTGGTAAATTAAAGTTTAACACTTGCACTTGCTGCAACATTAAGCAAACAAGCAGTTTTCTTGCTAAGCAGCATCTCTGCTTATCACTTATATAAAATGTTGTAATAAGTCTGTTGATGAGCCAGTTTAAATAATTAAGAGAAGGGCATAGCTGTTTTTTTTTTTAAATCTCCATTTGCAATTTTTTTTTCACAGAGGTAACAGTTGGTGGCTTTGCATTTTTCAAATCAGTGCTTAATAAATACTAACTTGCACATACCATTCTCTTCATATCACAGTTTTAACATGAACTACACATTACTAAACAATCTTCAAGACTTCTTGGGAATAACATTACTGTGGATGCCTGGCAATCGTTCTATGACAGATACAGGTACTGGAAGCTAATAGAACATGTAGATCATTGCATTTGCTTTAACACCTCCATTGGCATGAGTATTTTACTAACAAGTGCATATAAATAGGACATAATTTTTTTTCTTACCACCACTTCCAAAATGTCCCAGAATATTTCTGGAGTTCATTGCAAAGTAATCTCAAGGTGTTTTTATGTTTTGTTCACATGTTTATGTTTGGATTTCAGTTTCAAGTTAATCCCACAAGCCAGACAGAAGAATTTGATTTCCCTTGCTACATTTGTAATCAACCAGGTTTTCATGAGTTTGACTAATGCAAATTATGCATTAGACACCACACATATTGAAAACCAGTTTGATTTAGCAAAATTATAATTAGTATTCCTGGCCTTTTTTTTGAGATGAGACATCGTCCAGATTCATTGAAGAGGCTATAGTATGTGAACAACCTAAGATGGATCTTGGAGTTTGTCATAAAGGGTCAACGACCAATGTGTCAGTCGCTTTCCAGGCTCTTAGGTCTGGTGTACATGAGGTCAGTTTTAGTTTCATTTTATTGACTAAGATTTTATCTGGGAATGTGCCTAAATCTATCAGAATGCTACAAAACCAAGAGATTGGTCATATTGGTAGATTTGGGACACTTAAAGCATGCTTTCTCTTTCAATCAAACATTTGAAAATTTTGAATGACATGCTTCAACACTGAGCTACCAGTTCATCTTGTGTGTCATCTTCTAGGTTGGTAAATTCATGAAGTTGAAACTTCAGTATGCCACACCTCCCAGTCAGCAACAACAAACAACGGCTCCTCCATCACCATCAAAACTACCTCCAGCTACCGTGGAAACCCCCACTGAGGAGTCCCAGACAAACACGTTTCCACGGAGAGGAGATCGTCGCCGCTTCAAGCGGCCAATTCTACCTCGCCAACATTCATTTTCTTCATTATATCAGCGCTTTCAGATATCAGGCAACCGGTCTCGTTCCAATTCCTTTACTAGCGATGATGAAACTCATTCACTGCCAGGGGATCTATCTGAAAGGGGAGATATAGCATCTTGTTCCTCAGTCAGTGGGTGAGTCATTGATTGAAGCGGGAGTTTGAAAGTCCTCGCTGATAAGCATTGATAACTTAGGACTCTTACAAAGTTGATTTAGGATTTTTTGGTCCACTGAAAGCAATTTGAACTTATGCTTATAGTAAGTCAATGTGTATGTACTTCCTAAAACTCATAAAAGAAAGCACAATCTTGATGCTGAGTAGGGTCTCAGATCAATTAATTGATAGAAATCATTCTTCTCTTTCAATGAGCTCATTATCATATTACTGGTTTGCTTTTATTTTAGGTCAGCTAGTGTAACCAACAGTCCCATCAAGATGCAGAATGTCCCCAGCAACCAACAGCCTCCTAAACCATCCATCAGCATCGACAAGATTGCGAAAAGGAGAAGCAAAGTCTATGTTATTTGACCTGTATGACTTATATGCAAAAGGCAGGCACATTCATGAGGTCATTGACCTCAGCAAGTCAAGGTCACAGTCAGAAGACCATTGACCACTCAAATGTAAGGTTCTTGTGGTCATGAGGTCAGGTCAAACAGTCCATTAGTTCCCAAACCATGTGTCCTTATTCACAAGATAGCCAGATGGCCAAGCAAAGTCTGTTGTATGAACTGTCCAATGCAAGGTCATGCCAATATAGTCAGAGGGCAGGTCAGATCAAATAAGACACATAAACATGTATTCAACATTGCCAACAATTATGCAGCAACCCATGTACTTAGCCAAATGAAATTGCCAACCAAATGGAATTTTGTCGCATTTTTAAGGTCATAGTTTATGGTCATACATGTAGGTCATGCTTTAGGTCTTTAAGGTCATAGTAATCCTGTCTGAATCAACTGGCTATGGCTATCAGGAACACATGCCTTTGGGAAGTGGCTGTAGCTGTTAGCCATTGTACCAAACTCTAGCCATAGCTATAACATTCAGACGTGGCCTAATAATGCTATATTGTCCAGTTGCATGCTGCTACTCATGGAGTTGCAAACAGAGATGCATGAACATATATCATAGGCAAAATCACATCTTTCTTTTTTATGGATCCCTTTGTAAGGTTTGGGTTACAGATATTGTTTGCTTTTGTAAAATATTGATATATGTATATACATGTATGGGAGCGTGCAATGAAACTTATGCAAATTTTATTTTCACAGTATTTCAAGGTTCTGAAAGAGATGGAATTTCAGAGACTCTTAAGCTTTCAAGATGGTGGAGGGTGTCGTAATGATCAAGATCTAGAGTATGTATTCTGGGAAAGAATTCCATACATGGACACCACTTGACACCTTGTGCACAAACCCTATGAGACTGGTCTGAAAAATTCTACGTATTTTTGAAGTAAATGCTTTCATACTTTCACTCCTAACTTTGACTTTAGGGCATGCTATCACTCTCTGATGGCTAATAAATTGCTGCAAGGGGAAATTAATGATGTCTGTATATGGAACCCATATTTAGTTAACTGACTTGTTTGATTGGAACCCATGTTACTTAAGGCTAAGCTTTGAAAATCTTTGTTTTGGTGAAGGTAGTGGCACGAAAAATTAAAGAACATTGCAATATGCAGATTGAGATATTAACTTCGAATGTAAAAAAATGGAATTGCCTCTATTTTTACGACACTACGTGTAGTTACAAATTTTAAATATAACACATGAATCTGTTGATCTTGCCAAGAATGCCAGTGCTTTGAATGTTTAGCTGAAGTGATAAGATATGGATTTAATTTTCTGGTTATAAAAGTGTATATTTCACTAATGTATGTGTGCTTTTTACTAATGTACATCACAGTGAGGCTAACGAGGGCAGGCTGAATCTTTAAGTATTGGCTGTGGTTATGAACAGTATGTGCACCAATGGATAAAGCCACTGGGTAGCAGCTACAGTCACTTGTCATAGATATTGTTTCAGCTGGCTGTAGCTCAGACTTCGGCATACACACTAAGGTTTGCCAGCACTAGACCTGTCCATTGAGCCCTTCTCTAGTCTGTGATGTTTCCACCTGTCACAGACAGTATGTTGCAGTCACCTGTCGGATGTCTACCATGCTTGCATTTACTTACAATGTGGCATGTCTGTGTCATGTTGTGTGACGTTGATGATTAAGGGAGGCAACTTGCTATGTATCTGTCTTAATGGATTGGTCTGTTGGAGGGAGACTGAATCACAGCCCTTGGAAAAGCTGCATTTCCAGGAAAGTGATCACGGATAACATAGCCTTACTTTCAAGACCATGGTGACACTAATGCCATTGTGCAATGTACTTCTTATTGAAAGATATTTCATTTATGCAAAGTAGTTCTAATCATCTGTCAACATGTGTGCAATACTTTATCAGAGGGAGGAAAAAGTTTTTAGATTAAGTCTAGAGTAGTCATCCGAAGTTACACAGGCTTGATAACATTTACTTCTTGAACAGAAGACTATTCCTTGTCTTTGTCTTTTATGTTCAAGGGTCTTTTGAAGCATACTTGCAATGAGTACAGGTGAGCAAACAAAATAGTAATCGTACATGCCATTTCTGGTGAAAAAAATCCTAAAATCTATAAATTATAGGAATGGTGGACAATGAATAAATAAATGGCAGTTCACAGTATAAAATAGGATGATTTGTTCAATTTATTGAACATTCTTACAACTGATCTAAGTTTGTTTCACATATTCGATATTTATTTGTAACTTGCTTAAAGCCTTTGTTCAATTAGTACAATTATGATAAATTAACAGCAGCCATGGTACTTTAATAAATTGTCTCTTCTCAAATGTGACCAAATCTGTATAGATAAAATTCATATGTGAATAGAAACTTATGTAGGGGTTTGGATCCAATCTTGAAAACACTTGCTACTTTGATCTTTACAATGACAAACAAGGTTGGGATGGAGGTCAAACCTGGACAGCTTGAAAAGCATTTGTTTCCTATCAGCAGGAGTGAATTTGGATAGGTCACACTGGGAGATGTTAAAATCAAAGCTTGGACACCTTTTTAACTTAACCAATGTCAATTCTGGCTGCAAAGACTATTTTCACAAAATACACTAGCCATCAACCTGTTTTTAATTGATTCACTGTATATACATGTAGATTTATACTTGATGTAATAAAAGAATGCACATCTTTATAGTGATATACCAGATTCTTTTTCTGTTCTTATTTGTGTATCGCACGAGTAAGGTAAAGTATCTCCTTTATGACGTTTTTCTTAGTAGTAACGTAAAAATTCCACTAAATAAAACTGCATTTCAAAAGTATATTTACATAGCCACAGCATTAGGATTTTTTACGAAAGAAGAGGGAGGGCTTGGGATGCAAGGTTGAGGGATACTGTACCGCAGAACAAGAGGGTAACTAGGATATGAAGGGAAGGTAAAAGTGCAAAGAAAGTGGAGTAAGGAAAGGAAAACCCAGAAGGTGACCAAAGAATGGCGATAATCCCAAAGAGGAATGACCAGTACAATGATTTATATTGCAAAAGACAATGAGGAAAACCTGATTGTAATCTTCACCGTCGTATGTTAAGGCCATTGGGTTCTTTGGTTTCAAAATCCTTTATCCAGTGTGCCTCTCTGCGGTGAAGGTCAAAGACATTAACCATTTCTATACCCTGTACCTCCATATCAGCCACAGACCAGCACCAGGAGTGGTTCCTAATGGCATTATCATGATTATTGGCGGTTTCCGACAGAACTTCTGTGTTCATATATCCGTTGACGGAGGGGTCTTGCAGTCTGTCCAACATACTGCTTATCACAATTTCCACAAGTAATGAGATACACGACACCTTTAGAGTCACAATCAATGTAACTATCTGTTTGGTAGGTTATTTTTGTATGTGAGCTAGTGAAGGAGGCTGATGGCTTGATGTTATCTTGGCAAACAACACAGCGAGCCCTGGAGCACTTGAAAGTACCATTTTCACCACGTAAAGTCACATTTGAAAGTCTGCTCGAAATATCGTCCTCCTCAGATGAAGACATATTCAGGTATGGCTGCGATATTGATGCCAAAATTGTGGCTCTACAAAAGGTTCTGGCTTTACAATTTAATGACCTATTAGTTTCAACAGTATTTATTATCCAACAATCTGTATTATACTTCCAATGAGCTCAACCTTACCAAGCAGCTAATTCTGCTAATTAAAATGCAAATATATACAAGTACAAGTATTTGACCAAGTGTGGTGTCACTGTCGTATGGGGATACTTATAATGGAAAATCTACATATCATCTGACAATCAGGAACCAAAAGTAAACTAAAAATAATTAAGCCATTACAGCCTCCCTTGGATTGTGACGTCGTTTGCTGACATAAACCTTGCTACTAGATATGGTCACCACGTACATGAAGTCATCGAATATAACTGAAATAAAGAAAAGGGAAAAAAACAATTAAGCATAATGGAAAAGGCTTCCTTGAGAATGTATAGGGCATCATTTTCCACACATGTTGGTAACACTTTGTTCAATTTGGACAAGGTGTTTCACAAAATGTCAAATTTTCATCACAGGTGCAAAAAATGGTAAATTTTTCCTTAATCTAAACATTGGAAAAAGCACTGCATCAACTGACAGGTGCAAATGCTAATGAACATAATTACATAATGCTTTCTCCAATGGGGATGATACTTTTCACATACAATACTTTCTTTGGCATGAATGATAATGACATAATACTGGTGAAATTAATGATATAAAAATATGAACTGTATAAAAGGAAGAGACACAATCACATGATCACAAGCAGAGCTATGTGCAGTGTGGGACTGCCAAGGAGAATAAAACAAAAGTACAAGAAACTGCCATCGCCAATGGGGCATGTCTCTCTAACCCTACACAAGGATAAAACATGCAATGAGAGAAAGAAAATGCACAAAAAGGAAGGTAAGAGGGGAGAAGTAGTGGATGATAATGGTACTAAAACTGCACATGTACTGAAGAGTTTCACAAATAAAACTGCTCAGTGAAATAACGTCATACCTGACAGTCTCTTGAAAGTCTCTGGTTTGTCTGGATTAATTTTGATTCTGCTTGCTAGACGAACCATATTCATCAGGATTCCAGCTAATCTCTCATCATTCTCCAAATCACCTGAAGACTGCAAAAAATCAATTAATTCCGAAATTCACTTAAGAAAATTTTATCATTAACACTACCTTGAATCCTAATAAAATCGTATCTGGGACCCACCATTTCAAAACCAAGTCGAAGGCTTTTTAGCTAGTATCTGGAAAACAACAACTGAATGTCCATGAACAATGCATATTCCACAACTTTATATGCAACTACCCCCGACTTCCAAAGCTTTTGCTGAAAAAAATTGGGCTATGGATCACTTTGAAGTATGAAAATTATGTAAGTGCAGGGGAGAGGAATTGTCAAGCATTACAATCACCTATGTACTTCCGAACGGTGGGTCACTTTTCAAGTTTTCAGAGTGTTTGGTGGAATTGAAACAGGTGCATGAGGCCAATATTATTTTACATGGAACTTGGTGCTTCTTGAAAATTGCATTGCCATAATGCACTTTATGAAATTTGGTGGATTCAAGAATGTTATTAGTGAAAATGCTTAAGAAATTTATGGGTGAGGTTTTGTCACTGTTAAAGGTGAGTTTTTATCAATGGTATCAATGGAGCATAAAAATGCTGACAATTATGTAGCTTGCATAAAATACAGTGAACCTCGGTATGAGGGAAAGGATTACATGTACAGAGATGGGCAATATATTACAATACATGTACGTCAGGTAACTTTAGGCAAATCAATTGCAGACACCACCATGTCAAATATCTTAAACTTATCATCTCGTCACTACCTTGTATACTATTAAAACTTACAGCCATTACTGCTCCATCCCCATTGATGATGAGGTAGCCATCTTGGTCTGGCACCCTGTCAAGATTATGTGGTCCTGGTCCACTCTATACAGAATGAGAAAAGCAAACTCAATTGGTCAATATGCAGACAAGAATTTTGTTCCTTTGTACAAATGCTACTTATATAAAAACAACACTGGAAAAGACCAAGTGAAATTACACGTACATGTACTATAAGGTAAAAGATTCAGTTCTTCAATTGGACGGTCATTATGGGAGAAAAAAGAAAATCAAATCATACTCAACAACCATATCAGCAGATTGTGAAAAATATCCTTTACCGTTTCACATACTTACCGACGTTGTTCTCTTTATGATGCATGGAACGTTTGTGTGGAAGTACACCACATATATGCTACCTGAGAGCAGGCCAATGCCCAAATGCTAATATTAGGATTATGTCATTTTGACATGATGTCATTTTGACACTTGCTGATTGGACGAATGATGTTATGGAATATGGAACATCAACACAAGCCTTATATGGAATGCTCTGTCATGTGACTGCAATAGATATACATGTACATGCAAATAATGCTTGGTTGATTGATTTTGAAAGACTCACCTAAATGTACAATACAAAGCAAAACTGAAAGGTTAACAGGTGAACACCTGTAAGTTGTTTGCGCCTTACTTCCTACGCAAACATACATTTTTAGGTATTATAACTTGGCTGGGTGCACACCACAGACACCTTTTTTCTATGTTTCAGGGCTGCTAGAGCATTTATTTGAGAACCCTTTAATAAATTCTTGTCTCACAACAGAACACACAGTTTTAAATGATGAAAATATAGATGAAGTTTACACCTTCTGGCAACTGGTCTCTGTAATGGACCAGTAGGGGCACCAGCACTACAGCTCAACTTTAGATCTGTGCTGGTAACCCCTGCTGGCTGATTGGCACCACAGACACCATAATACTCTGTAGATTACCCAAATGTTTAAAATGGCGATTTGTTGAGTCCAAGTTACTTGAATTAGGTCTATGCACATGGAGTTGGGAAAACCTACATGTACCCCATGGTACAGTCTAAGGACATGCATAAATGAGTAAGGGTGCTGTTTATCTTGGATCACATTTCCTTAACAGGAAGCTGTGATTACAATTGGTCTTTTTGCACACTGTAGCTCCTCTATTTAACCCTCCTATGCTGAAGTCACTCTTTGGGTCACTTGGTAAACACCTCAAAGAAGCACAGCTGTGTCGTGTTGTGCACTGCACCAACATGCACTTGTGCATATTTGTGCTGTAAACTAAAGGAGGGTTAATTTACCATTTTCAAATTTTTGAATTGTCAAGCAAGTGAAAGCCAGCATTTAATTCATTGAAATAAGGTGAAATAATACAAAAATATAACAAAATATGAATTTTGAGCTTTTCAGTCAAAATCCACGTACCAAATAGGCCTAATCACCTCATCACAGTTTGCTCCGCATTACACATGCCCCAAAAAATCCCCCAAATGTCCCTGCTTCAATCCAATATCTGGAAAGAGTTTCATAAATTTACGGAAAACGCTAATTTTCAATTAAAATCATTAAAAATGTTATGACAGCCGACGACAGGATGAAGTGCTAACACTAACAGTGACACGTTTAAAAGGCTAAAAAAGGGACATTTACTTTAGCAAAGAAAATTCTGAATATTTAGTCTACGCAAACTCCCCATTATGGTCTATGCATACTGACAACCAAAAATCAATAGTTACCATTTTCGTTAATCAGTTGAAAAAAGGAGTTAATGCAGCCCCTCAACTGGCACAAACATGACCTAAATTTCCGAGCTGTTCTTTAGTGACACCGTGTGTTACGCCTTAAGTACAGCATCAGTCCCAACTCTAGTTGGGACATTCTCAATTGTAGTGTGCTGCAGTTGGGCTGGCCCAACTATTGGTGGCCAATCTCTGTGGAAATCCTTCTCCAAATGTTTGCAGTTCACTCCTGACTAAATATGATACTCAATCTTTGTGAAAATATTTTTTTTCTGAAAGGACAAGTTGATAATGTAGACGAAATGACTTTGGTACATGCAATTCTCACGTTCGGAAATCCGGGAAATTTGCCCCTATGCCGTATGTTAAAAGTCCATAGTGACGTCACGCCGATGCGTACACACTGAACTCCTGTTATTAATCTGTGCATGCAATAGTTGGGACGGTCACAATACTGTAGTTGGGACCATGGAGAAATAAAACACATTTCTCCATGTTGGGACTGATCTATAGTTGGCGCATAGCCAGAACGACAGAACGCGAAAAAAACAAGACTTTATTGTCTAAATATCCCCGCTCCGCTCTTCAAAAATCAAAGCACGGTTTCAGCTTTAAAAATGACACAACATTGAAAAAAATTTAGGCTGTAAAAGCTCTACTGAATGGAGTATTATTCTTCGTTTTTGAATTGAAAAAGAGAAATGCTAACGACTCCACTCAGTATTTACAATATGAGTAATAGGCCCCTATGTTCTAAAACATAATTACTGCATATTTTCAATAAATAAACATATATTTCAGGTATATCCAATGAAAAATTGGCACGTATCACAATCCACAATTGCCCGATACAACTCTGAAGAGCCATGATATGTACATGTACTGGAAAATTATATATTATATATATGATTTGTTTCATGATATATATTCAAAAAGCCGCATCCTCTTTGAGTGATCCCTGTTCACCACTTCCCAGGTTGTATCGTGTGAAATCGGGGTGTAATCCCTGGCTACATGGTGTTTCAGGTTCAATGGCTTCTGGTTGCCGCCCCCCGAACAAAAATATTGACAGATGGGAGGGGCCACCAGCTCAGTTGGTAGAGCACTGGAACGATATTCCAGAGGTCGCAGATTCAAGTCCTGCTCCAGTCAATTTCTTTGTTCATCTTTATAATTATTCATAGCACCCCGTCACTTTCCCTATATGATTTGTTTCAGGAAAAATTCAAGGATACAGGTTTTTACTTTGGAATTTTCTATTAAAAATATATAGACAAGAATGTAATATAAAACCAGTCCTCTGCAAAAGCAGATTCAGTTGCTTGCCCTGAAGAAGGTACTCACTTGCCGAAAGCTTGGCAATTACATGTTTCAAAGCACGGATATTATATTCTTGTCAACATTCTGATCGCGGTGCTACACAGCCCTTCCATATTCAATTTTTTCTAAAACTTATATTTGAGGTACATGTACATGTATACATGTATAATTTCAACATTTTGCTACGGATTTCTGTAACATATGGCCTTCTATACAATTATTTAGCAAGACTGGTTCCCAGAACGTGTTCCTTCTAAACCTGTATTATTTGCGTTCAGCAGTCTGGATGCAATGCAATACAAATTTGACGATAATGAAACGAAAATCGGATACGGGGTCTCATCTTCTAGCCCACCAATTGTACTTAGATTTTGGTAAAGCTTTCAGGCGGTTGCCATCATGGCACACCCCATTCTACACAAATTTTTGTTGGTTTTCCTTTTTGCTGCTATTTTTAACACGCATGCGTTTCAGAAGGGAAAATTTGAACTGGAAAATCGGGCAGCAATTTGGATGTTTACGGAGCAGAAAGAACAAGTCGCACAGAACAGAACAAGGGATGCCTTCCTGATCCCGCACATCCGACATCCACGGAGTGCTGGTGTCATTACCATGGAGATGATTGATGAAGGACTGAGTGATGCAATTGAGGGTGTTGCTTATCAGAGAGGAGATATCATTCTAGGGGGAATGTTTGCTGTTCTTTTTCCAGATAATGATGGCAATCCTTGCTCTAGAGTTCTGCAAAAGACTGGATTGAGAATGGAAGCCATGATGTATGCTGTGGACGTTCTCAATAATAGCACTGACATCCTGCCAAATGTTAAGCTAGGATTTGATATCCGAAACGACTGCTCTGATCCCAACAAGGCGCTGAGGGTAATTTGTTATGATTTGCATCAGTAAAATCAATTATAATAAAGTGTAATCACTGATTAAACAGTGACAGTGTTAAATGATTAAAAAACAAAAATAAACAAAGGAATATGGTGAAAATGGGGGAGATTCAGTAGGGCCCTTTAGGTAAAAGGACATTAATATTATTAACTGAGGTGTAAAAATTCAGTGTTTTAGCTGATTTCAACTTTTTCATTTCGATGTTGACCCTCAATTTTTTTACACCTGCTGTGTACAAACATATGGGACTTACATTTTAGCAATTCGCTATCTGTTTTTAGCTTTTTTAAGTGGCCACTCACACACCCCTGTATTAAGAGCTGCAATTGTTATAAACCATCAGTATCCTTGTTATTTACATTGTTATTGTAATTTTCATTTCGATCAGAACTCTCTTATCCTCAACATGATCTCTCTGCTTTAATGGTTAACTTTAAGACAGTTGACCAGAGTTACAGCTTCAGAATCAATGTCTCATTTTACTCCTATTTTTAGGAAGCTCTCAATTTCATATCTCTGAGTGACGGAAGGTCTTGTTCTAGTGATGAACCACAGACAATAGGAGTAATTGGCACAGGATCCAGTGCTACATCAACAGATGTGGCAAACCTTCTTGGTAGGTACATATAAAACTAAAAGTCATTAGTTGAAAAGATTAACTGCTTATTTGGTAGCAATGTAATCACTTGAAAGGTTTGATGGAGGCCTGATGTGTTCATCTTTGCATAATCCCTCTCAAATACTTGGAGGTGAAGATTGGAAAATTTCCAAAATGTGAAGAAGGTGACCATAATCTCATGTTGATGAGATTATGATCAAGCTTAAGGATTACTATGACATTAAACCATTCTGTCTTGGCAGGGTTATTCAAAGTGCCTCAAGTCAGCTACTCAGCTTCAAGTCCACTCTTGAGCGACAAGAAGCTCTACCCATACTTTCTTCGAACTATCGCCTCAGATGTCAACCAAGCTGAAGTGATGGCTGATCTTGCAGAAACCATGAGATGGAATTATGTTGCTATCATCTATACTATTGATAACTATGGAACACCTGGAATGAAGTTATTGAGCGATTTGCTTCAGTCGAGAAATATCTGCACCCCTATCATCCGAGGCTTGAACAGTGACAGCCCTGATGACGACGTGGCTAAAATCATTGAAGAATTGGCTCGGGATGAAAAGATTTTGGTGATGAGATGAATAACTCATAGTTAAGACTTATACAAACAAAAAGTGGTTAAAAGCTATCTGAAGTGTTTGGCTTCCAGTGATCCGATACTAATTTGCTATTCTAGAAAGAGAAAGTCTTCATCAATTTGAAGCAAATCTACATGAAGTTTGATTCAAAATGCAACTTCCAGGAAACTGTTATTCTACCTACATGTAGCTGAGCAACATTTTCCAGTGTCCAAGTTTCCTTGAATGTTGGCTTTGCTCATAATAAATTTGACTAACTCTGATTTATCAATGATTCAATTCCATACAACAGGTAATCTTCACTTTCTGTGGAAAGCAAGGAATAGGACGTATTTTGACAGGGGCACAAAATAAAGGACTGACCAATAGAACATGGATTGCAAGTGACTCGTGGGGCCAATCGGATCAAGTCGTTCAAAATGTGAAATCTCTTGTCAGGGGCATGCTGGGAATCATTCCTAAGTCAGACCCTGATAAAAACTTCAAGAGGTAAGTTAATGAGTGTTGAAAATCCTCCAGTGCACCATCACTTGTCATTCTTCAACACCCCATACAGACAGAACTGCAATTTTACAATACTACTGTGTAAATATTTCAGGGTACAGTTATGAACTGAATCCTTCCAGATCAACTGATGAGCTCCAAATCTGAAGATTGGAAGAGCGAGCATTCAGGGAAATCCACACTGATTTTGCAACATAACATTCAATATCTTTCTTTCTTAGGTACTTGTCTCAATTGGACCCTTACGCCAACCACCGTAATCCTTGGTATCAGCTTACCTTAGGCAAACATTTTGATTGTACATTTAACCCATCTGATGCACAACACAAGCAGTGCCTGGGAAATGAAACATTCGCCCAAGAGGAAGATGCTGCAGCTAGCTTTGTGATCGATGCTGTGTATGTGTTAGGTTATGCACTACATGACATGCTTACACAGTGTGATGGTAAGATGTGGGGTAGGATCTGTTGGTGGAATGGGGGGGGGTATTATTTATTCTTTGCATCCATCCAAATACACGTAATTACTAGGGCTGCATAATATGTTCACACTTTGTGATGGTAAGATTGGGTGTGTTTCTGCAGGTACTAAGGGCAAAGGGGAGGGACAACAAGGGGTAAAGAGAGGGTAGGGCAAGGAGATGGGGCAAGAAAGTGGGGGCACAAGGGGACAGGGCAGAGGGGCTGAGGTAAGGGGTTAGGGCAAGGAGATGGGGCAAGAAAGTGGGG